CTCGCACTTCTGCACTCGCTAGACGCTTGTTCTCGCACTTCTGCACTCGCTAGACGCTTGTTCTTGCAATTCTGCACTCGCTAGACGCTTGTTCTCGCAATTCTGCACTCGCTAGACGCTTGTTCTTGAAATTCTGCACTCGCTAGACGCTTGTTCTCGCAATTCTGCACTCGCTTGACACTTGTTTTCGCAATTCTGCACTCGCTAGACGCTTGTTCTTGCAATTCTGCACTCACTAGACGCTTGTTCTCGCAGCTCTGCACTCGCTTGACACTTGTTCTCGCAATTCTGCACTCGCTAGACGCTTGTTCTCGCAATTTTGCACTCGCTAGACGCTTTTTCTCGCAATTCCGCACTCGCTAGACGCTTGTTCTCGCAATTCTGCACTTGCTAGACGCTTGTTCTCGCAATTCTGCACTCGCTAGACGCTTGTTCTCGCACTTGTGCACTCGCTAGACACTTGTTCTTGCACTTCTGCACTCGCTAGACGCTTGTTCTTGCAATTCCGCACTCGCTAGACGCTTGTTCTTGCAATTCTGCACTCGCTAGACGCTTGTTCTCGCAATTCTGCACTCGCTAGACGCTTGTTCTTGAAATTCTGCACTCGCTAGACGCTTGTTCTCGCAATTCTGAACTCGCTTGACACTTGTTCTTGCAATTCTGCAGTCGCTAGACGCTTGTTCTCGCAATTCTGCACTCGCTAGACGCTTGTTCTCGCAATTCTGCACTCGCTAGACGCTTGTTCTCGCAATTCTGCACTCGCTAGACGCTTGTTCTCGCAATTCTGCACTCGCTAGACGATTGTTCTCGCACTTCTGCACTCACTAGACGCTTGTTCTCGCACTTCTGCACTCGCTGGACGCTTGTTCTCGCAATTCTGCACTCGCTGGACGCTTGTTCACGCAATTCTGCACTCGCTAGACGCTTGTTCTCGCACTTCTGCACTCGCTAGACGCTTGTTCTCGCACTTCTGCACTCGCTAGACGCTTGTTCTCGCACTTCTGCACTCGCTAGACGCTTGTTCTTGCAATTCTGCACTCGCTAGACGCTTGTTCTCGCAATTCTGCACTCGCTTGACACTTGTTCTCGCAATTCTGCACTCGCTAGACGCTTGTTCTTGCAATTCTGCACTCACTAGACGCTTGTTCTTGCAGCTCTGCAGTCGCTAGACGCTTGTTCTCGCAATTCTGCACTCGCTAGACGCTTGTTCTCGCAATTCTGCACTCGCTAGACGCTTGTTCTCGCAATTCTGCACTCGCTAGACGCTTGTTCTCGCAATTCTGCACTCGCTAGACGATTGTTCTCGCACTTCTGCACTCACTAGACGCTTGTTCTCGCACTTCTGCACTCGCTGGACGCTTGTTCTCGCAATTCTGCACTCGCTGGACGCTTGTTCACGCAATTCTGCACTCGCTAGACGCTTGTTCTCGCACTTCTGCACTCGCTAGACGCTTGTTCTCGCACTTCTGCACTCGCTAGACGCTTGTTCTCGCACTTCTGCACTCGCTAGACGCTTGTTCTTGCAATTCTGCACTCGCTAGACGCTTGTTCTCGCAATTCTGCACTCGCTAGACGCTTGTTCTTGAAATTCTGCACTCGCTAGACGCTTGTTCTCGCAATTCTGCACTCGCTTGACACTTGTTCTCGCAATTCTGCACTCGCTAGACGCTTGTTCTTGCAATTCTGCACTCACTAGACGCTTGTTCTCGCAGCTCTGCACTCGCTTGACACTTGTTCTCGCAATTCTGCACTCGCTAGACGCTTGTTCTCGCAATTTTGCACTCGCTAGACACTTTTTCTCGCAATTCTGCACTCGCTAGACGCTTGTTCTCGCAATTCTGCACTTGCTAGACGCTTGTTCTCGCAATTCTGCACTCGCTAGACGCTTGTTATCGCACTTCTGCACTTGCTAGACGCTTGTTCTCGCACTTGTGCACTCGCTAGACACTTGTTCTTGCACTTCTGCACTCGCTAGACGCTTGTTCTTGCAATTCTGCACTCGCTAGACGCTTGTTCTTGCAATTCTGCACTCGCTAGATGCTTGTTCTCGCAATTCTGCACTCGCTTGACACTTGTTCTCGCAATTCTGCACTCGCTAGACGCTTGTTCTTGCAATTCTGCACTCGGTAGACGCTTGTTCTCGCAATTCTGCACTCGCTACATGCTTGTTCTCACAATTCTGCACTCGCTAGACGCTTGTTCTTGCAATTTCGCACTCGCTAGGCGCTTGTTCTCGCAATTTTGCCCTTGCTAGGCACTTGTTCTTGCAATTATGCACTCGCTAGACGCTTGTTCTTGCAATTCTGCACTCGCTAGACGCTTGTTCTTGCAATTCTGCACTCGCAAGATGCTTGCGGGGCCGCGCGATGGGGCGGCGGGGCCGCGATGGGGCGGCGGGGCCGCTAGGTAGGGCGGCGGGGCCGCGCAATGGGGCGGCGAGGCCGCGAGGTAGGGCGGCGGGGCCGCTAGGTAGGGCGGCGGAGCCGCTAGGAGAGAGGCGGCGGGGCCGCGAAGACGGGCGGCGGGGCCGCGGAGACGGGTGGCGGGGCCGCAGTGCAGGGCCGCTAGGGCGGCTCGACGAAGTGAGGGCCCGAAGCGCGACTCGGGCTGAGCGCGCTTCGTGCAGGAAAAAAATATCGATGTGGTGGGCCCTAAGCACAGTTCCCAAGGGGGAACCTGCTCGATACCATGAGAAGATTTGAACAAGAATGGATGGACTATGAAATGAAGTGAGTACAAATATGAAACCCTAATTGGTTGTACCCCCTATGGGATACCCCACTATAGCCTACACAACAGCATAAGCTATAATGTTCTGACATCCAACGCTGCTTTTGTCCAACTCGTTTTGTCCAACGCATTTTGTCCAACGCTGATTTTGTCCAACACGGTTTGTTCAACGTTTTTTGTCCAACACTGATTTTGTCTAACGCTAATTTTGTCCACCGCGTTTTGTCCAACGTTTTTTGTCTAACGCTTTTTGTCCAACACACGTTTTGTCCAACCCTCATTTTTGTCCAGCTCGTTTTGTCCAACGCGTTTTGTCCAATGGATTTTGTCCAACGCTGATTTTGTCCAACGTTTCTTGTCCAACGCGTTTTGTCCAATGTTTATTGTCCAACGCTGCTTTTGTCCAACGCGTTTTGTCCAACTCGTTTTGTCTAACGCTGATTTTGTCCAACGTTTTTTGTCCAACTCGTTTTGTCCAACGTGTTTTGTCCAACGCTGATTTTGTCCAACTCGTTTTGTCCAACGTTTTTTGTGTCCAACGCTTTTTGTCCAACGCGGTTTGTCCAACGTTTTTTGTCCAACGATGATTTTGTCCAACGATGACAAAATCGTTGGACAAAACAAGTTGGACAAAAACGAGCGTTGGACATAAAACATTGGACAAATCGCGTTGGACAAAAAACGTTGGAAAAAAAAAAAAAAAAAAAAAAAAAAAACGTTGGACAAAACGCGTTGGACAAAATGCGTTGGGCAAAAAACGTTGGACAAAATCAGCGTTGGACAAAAAACGTTTGACAAAACGCGTTGGACAAAACTCATTGGACAATATCAGCATTGGACAAAAAACGTTGGACAAAACGAGTTGGACAAAAAACGTTGGACAAAATCAGCGTTGGACAAAATACGTTGGACAAAACGCATTGGACAAAAAACGTTGGACAAAACGTATGTTGGACAAAATCAACGTTGGACAAAAAACGTTGGACAAATGTGTTGGACTAAAAACGTTGGACAAAATCAGCGTTGGACAAAATGCGTTGGACAAAACGTGATGGACAAAATCGGCATTGGACAAAAAACATTGGACAAAATCAGCGTTGGACAAAATGCGTTGGACAAAACGCGTTGGACAAAACGAGCTCGACAAAAACGAGCGTTGGACAAAAAAACGTTGGACAACAAACGTTGGACAAAACGTGTGTTGGACAAAATGCGTTGGACACAACGTGTTGGGCAAAAAACGTTGGACAAAATCAGCGTTGGACAAAAATCGTTGGACAAAATCAGCGTTGGACAAAATGCGTTGGACAAAACCGTTGGACAAAACGAGCTGGACAAAAACGAGCTTTGGACAAAACGTGTGTTGTACAAAAAACGTTGGACAAAAAGCGTTGGACAAAAAACGTTGGACCAAAAACGTTGGAAAATAAAAACTTTGGACAAAAGACGTTGGACAAAACGTGTTGGACAAAATCAGCGTTGGACAAAACATGTTGGACAAAAAACGTTGGACAAAATCAACGTTGGACAAAAACGTTGGACAAAATCAGTGTTGGACAAAACGAGTTGGACAATATCAGCGTTGGACAGAAAACGTTGGACAAAACGCGTTCGACAAAAAGCGTTGGACAAAATTTGTGTTGGACAAAAGACGTTGGACAAAACGCGTGGGACAAAACGCGTTGGACAAAATTAGCGTTGGACAAAATGCGTTGGACAAAACGAGTTGGACAAAACGCGTTGGATAAAAAGCATTGGACAAAATCAGCGTTGGACAAAATGCGTTGGACTAAACGCGTTGGACAAAAAACGTTGGACAAAACGCGTGCGGAAAGTCAGCCCCACCCGGGTATCGACACGCATGTGCGCCTGCATGACGCCCGCCAGCGTGGATGCCGATATGCTGGGGGCATGGGGATGGGTAGAGGGGAGTGGGAAGGAGTAAGAGGAGAGACGTAACTGAGAGGCCGAGACGTGACCAAGGCACCATAGGAGTATGGAGCGAGTGAGAGAGCGCGAGGGGAAAGGAGAGGGGTGTACGTTTGGGTGTCGTGTGAGTCGGTGACGTCCGCGATGAACTTTTCCAGACAGCGGATGCCATTGCCACACATCTGCCATGCCACGTGCCATGGGGGGGGCATGCATGGGGTAAGCAGAAATCAGCGAACAGCACATGCGAAATTCTTGTCGCATGGGGAAGTGAAGTAATCCGTGTGTGTTAACCATCCCTGTACTATCTCTTGCACACTTTGGGCTCAGATCCCCCTGCACTACACTGCACCACGTTGCAGTACAGGGCGCACGTCTGGCTCACTGCCGTCAGTGTTAAAGATGCACATGGTGAAGTCGGCGCCCGCCAACCCCGGCAGCAGGAAGATCACCCCGTCTCCGCCCACCCCGAAGTGGCGGTCACACAGCCACGCCGCCTGCTCCTGCGACACCACCGGTTGTCCACCTGGCGGGTTGGCGGTGTGAGCGACAGAGGTAAGGACGAATGGCAGCACACGCAGTTGGATCAGGAGTGGAAAATGGCAGAAGAAACAGCAAAAGCAGGCGCAGCAACGAGAGGGGTGTGAGGAGACACGCAGGGAGGCGGGCATGGAGGGATGGATAGAGGAGAAGGGGGCGGCTCACGAGTATGAAGTCGTTGCCGATGCCTTGATACTGGCTGAACCGCACCTTGCCACTACTCGACGCCGATCTCGTTGCCGCCTGCCATGGTTCATACCACACCATGCCGCGTCGTGCCATGCGGGGCCAAGGCGACGCGTCACGCCATTCCACGACAAAACCAATGCCAATGGATCAACGCAAGGAAACGAAATGGAAGCGCATTGCTTGAGAGCAACTGCATGACGTGCTGACGTGTCAGATTATAATGCTTGTCTAGTCTGTAGTGGGGTACTCAAAAGTGAGTATAACCCTTTTGGGCTTGCTACTTGTATCCCCCTCCTTTCTAGTTCAATCACTTCTTCTCCTATTTCTCTTTCATATACCCTAAAACTTAGCTATGGCTTCTTAGCCTTAGCTACTATCTTAACATGCTATCAGAGCATTACGCTCCTGGCCTGTGGGCCCACCTGCTTCCGCTGCCCTACTGTGTGTCGCGCGCCCCGTGGCGCGCGACCTCCTATTTTTCTTCCCGCCACGCGCTCCGAGCGCGTGGCGATTTTCTTCCCGCCGTGCGCCCCAGGCGCGCGGCGGGTTCCTGCTTCGTGCGGTGCCCTGCGGGCCTGCGCGCCGGCCCCTCCCGTCACCTCGTCGCGGCGCCTTGGGGGCCCGCGCGCCGGCCCCGACCGTCGCCTCGTCGCGGCGTTTTGGGGGCCCGCACGCAGGCCTCTCCCGTCGCCTCGTCGCGGCGCTTTGGGGGCCCGCGAGCCGGCCCCTCCCGTCGCCTCGTCGCGGCGCCTTGGGGACCCGCGAGCCGGCCCCTCCCGTCGCCTCGTCGCGGCGCCTTGGGGGCCGCGCGCCGGCCCCAACCGTCGCCTCGTCGCGGCGCCTTGGGGGCCCGCGCGCGGTCCCCTCCCGTCACCCGTCGAGGCGCTCTCAGGGGCCCGCGCGGCTCCCTAGCTCGTCGCCCGTCGGGGCGCCCTAGGGGCCGCGCCCTTCCCCTCCCCTCCCTCCTACCTTTCACCTGCAGCAGCCGCCCCTGGAGCAGCCCGCAACTGCAGCAGCCGCCCCTGGAGCAGCCCGCACCTGCAGCAGCCGCCCCTGGAGCAGCCCGCACCTGCAGCAGCCGCCCCTGGAGCAGCCCGCACCTGCAGCGGCCGCCCCTGGAGCAGCCCGCACCTGCAGCCCGCACCTGCAGCGGCCGCCCCTAGAGCAGCCCGCACCTGCAGCCCGTCCCGTTCCCCCCCCCCCCCCCGGTGCATTCCGTGGTGCTGGGGGTGTGGGGTGCCGAGCATGGGGGTGGCGGGTGTGGGGGTGGCGGTTATGTGTTCCTCCCCTTGCTCCTCCTCCCCCCTCGTCTCCCACTGCTGCAGCTGTCGCTGAGGGGGGTGGGTGTGTGGGAGCCTAGGGTTTAGGGTTTAAGGGGGGTGCTGTGGGAGTGGAGCTAGGGTTTGAACAGGGGGTGTGTGAGAGGGGAGTGGGGCAGCTGGGGGAGGTTGTGTGAAGGTAGCTGTCGTGTCGCCTGCAGCGCCTGTAGTCCGTCGCCCTTGCTTCGGTAGCCAGTGAGCCTGTTGCACCAGTCGCCAGTGGGTCCGTTGCTCCTGCCGCTCGTCTATAGCCGCGGAGCGAGTCACTCCAGTAGTCCGTCGCCCTTGCTTCGGTAGCCACTGAGTCAGCCGCTCCTGTGCCCGTGCCTCTGCAGCTTCAGTCGTTGCCTCGCATCTTCTCTCCCTCCACAGTCTCTCCTCCTCCTCACTTGCCCTCTGTGATAGCCTCTAGCTTTGCTTATCATTGTGAACTCTTGCTCTATGCCTGCATGCTGTACTGATTATACCCCACTTTGACTATGGGGGTGTGTCAGATTATAATGCTTGTCTAGTCTGTAGTGGGAAACTCAAAAGTGAGTATAACCTTTTTGGGCTTGCTACTTGTATCCCCCTCCTTTCTAGTTCAATCACTTCTTCTCCTATTTCTCTTTCATATACCCTAAAACTTAGCTATGGCTTCTTAGCCTTAGCTACTATCTTAACATGACGCGCCTTTCCCTCCACCCATGCGACTTTCATTTCAACAACTAGAACTTCCCGAACGAATCAGATCATTTGCTGCGATCTGGTGAGGCTACTCAGATATCACCTCACCATCGCTATCCGCGTTTTCGATCGAACGGTCGTCGCATACAGAACACCATTATTCGGAGAAGCGATCCGTCTCAGGCCAGTAAGACAAGTCGCGTTTCGCGCCGCCACCCGGAAAGTTAGTGACGGCTGGTTGGTGCTGGCTTTAGGCGCCTCGACGTGGATCGCGAGGCCCGATCCCACAACGCACCGGCTGCACACGTCGCCACCGAATCCGCAAATAGTGCTGTCGTGCGGCGCGTGCGACACGGCAGATTGCAAGGTCCTGGAGGTCGATAATGTCGCGGATATAGCGAAATGGATGCTCACACTCACAACACACTCTGCAGTTTGCTCAGCGCCGCTCATCATATACATTGGAGCTGAAGGGCCTGGGGGATGTTGATCGTGGATTGGAGGAAAACAACTTCGTTACAATGTTTTCGCCAGCTCATTTGAACAAGTGCTCTCCTTTGCATTGTTGTTGCGATATGATGTAGCAGGCCAAAACTAATAGTTTTCCCTTGCGAATAATAGTGCTCTCACCCTCGTCAAACTAGAAATGCGTTTGCAGCGATCTGCAAGTGAAGGCATCAGAGCAGGTCTGCCACAGGTCAGTGAAGTCGGCCTCAAAAAAAAGAAGAGCCCAGATCAGCGCAACGCCAGTCATCATGGCCCACGACGGCGTTGCGACGCCCGAGGGCGAATTCGAGGGCGACAGCTGCGATTGTTGTTCCTCAAAGAGGCGAGCGAGCTGCAGTGCCTCGTTGCCATACTCGTGCCCTCCGCGGGGCCCGATCAGTCTGGATGTGTCGAATTTCGGAATCCGCGACGCTGTTGAGGAGGCGCAACGAAGGCGCGCGGCGGAAGACGGGGAGATGCGCAACGACCCGCGGGCAGCAGTGCTGCTCCGCTTCGAAACCATCGTACGCCTCGCCTCGCCGCTCGTACCCCGTCGCTCGTAGCCCGGCGCTCGTAGCACATGGCTCGTAGCTCATACGCCTAGATTCATGAATCGGAACGAGAACGCAGCAGTCGTGAAGGACTGGCCGCAGCTTCAGTCGTGCTGACGGCCTTGCGCACACCGACCCGCGTGGTGCAGCACTCCCACGGCCATCCCATCACCAGCCATAGCAACGTCTCTCTTCCATCACCGCTCATGCACCCCACCCGCTCATGTGCCCCTCTCCCGTTCACACCCCCCACCCCCCAAGAGCAGCGGCGCCTCTCCCTCACAGCCCCCCAGAGCAGGGGTGCCTCTCTCTCACAGCCCCCCAGAGCAGGGGCGCCTCTCCCTCACAGCCCCCAAGAACAGCGGCGCCTCGCCCTCACTTCCCCCCAGAGCAGCGGTGCCTCCCCCTCGCAGACCCCCAAAGCAGGGGCGTCTCGCCCTCACAACCCCCCAGAGCAGGGGCGCCTCTCCCTCACAGCCCCGCAGAGCAGGGGCGCCTCTTACTTAGGCTTGGAAAACACGAGGATGTTTCAAGCACAGCGTCGTCTAGCTCTGGCTTCGTGAACCCTATGCTTGTTTTCTTGTGTGTACCAGAGGTCCTCATTTCAATTCTGCAAATATAGGCACGGTATGCAAATGCATTGCTTATCCACCAAGCAAGAGAATAAAAACTTAACTCTGAACTTGCACTTCTGTTAAGGAACCTGCTCGATTATTATTACACCCTGAATGAACACTATTTTACTGTAGCTGTACTTGGCTGTCTTCCTTGTGCATTGAGCCATCCTGTATAATTCATGTCTGAACAGCAGCACAATTATCAGATTCTCCCCATAACTATCATAACATATCCCGTTGGCATGTACGGTATTGCTGGTGATTTGCACTGTGCACCTTTGCTACTGTACCGTGCATACTTGTGCACGTGCATGTAGACGTCCAGAGGACCATGGTAGTGCATGCACTAGATCAGTTGCCAACACACTCGCCAGAACACTAGGTATCTTGCACGAGCAAGTCCCTGACTCCCTACAACCCTCCAGCATGGGGTTGGAAAGAACAGCTGGGCGCACCTGCACGCTGATCGGCATGCCGGTACCATTAAACTCAAGCGGAGTCAATGTCAACAGCTTCATTCAAATGTCCACAATATGTACAAGCAGCGACATAATGCTGCAACCTCAGTCGCCAGTCCATGACCCTTGATTCCTTCTCCTCGATCTTCCATTTTGCTGCCACCGTCCCTGCCAAGCCAATCCCCCTGCCAATCCCCCTGCCAATCCCCCTGCCAATCCCCCTGCCAATGCCCCTTTCAAGGCCCCTGCTAAGCCCCCTCTGTGCAATCACAGCTCAAACCCTGGGAATCGTGCGTCTTCAGGCCGAACCAGGTGCAGGAAGAGACAAGCAACGCCGCCCAGGCCCTCCATGAGCGAGAAGGGGCGGTCACCGCAGTGCAGCAGGGCGGCATGTGCGAGGCGCTGGCGGTGGGCCAGGAGGAAGGCAGCAAAGGCGTGTGCTCTGTGCAGGTGGGTGCTGGGAGGGGGCAGGGCAGAAGTGGTGGTTTCCTGCAGGCTGGTGGCGTGGAGAGCGGAGGCAGCACGGTGGAGGGAGAGGAAGGCATAGGCGTTACCAGCAATGCCGTGGCACAGACCCATCTTGCGCAGCAGGCCCCGCTGCCATGCCACCTCGCCCGCCGCCACCGCTGCTGCCAGCAGGTGCTGCCTGCTCGGGTGTGACTGGTGCAGGGTAGGGGTAGGAGAGTGGGCATGTGCATGGAAGGGCAGAGATGGAGAAGCAGAGATTGCAAAGGCGCTGATTGCACAGTGTGGTTGAGTTGAGAGCAGAGGCAGTAAGTAGAAGCAGTAAGCAGCAAGGCATGCAATCGTCGCACCGTGGAAGCAGTAGCAGGCAGCATGTGCACAGAGGAAAGCCCACTGCAGTACCGCAGGTCACGTGCACTGCAAACAAATGCCACAGAAACCACAGATGACAGCACAAGGTGTATGCACAGGCACACACAGCCACATACCGTAGCAGCGTGGGCGAGCGCCATGGCCACACCAGGAGCCCCGTGACACCACTGCACCAGCCTGTCCGCCCCACCTGCTGCCGCCCTGCCTGCACCTACCCCAGCAGCAGCGAGGCGTTTCTCGTCACTGGAGGGGTAGTTACCGCTCGGCAGCCTGCCACCCACCATCCACTCCAACACTGCCACTGCCTCCCCTCCCCCTTCTTCCGCTGCCTCCCTGCCCTCTTCCCCTGCCCCCTCCTCCGCTTCTGCTGCTGCTACCTCGCCCACTCGTCCCACCTGCCCCACCTGCCCCATGTGCCCCGCCCCCAGCAGCAGCGTGTGGGCGATTCCCGCCAGCCCATGTGCTGCTCCCCAGTAGCGCTTCCCGTGCCATGCGAACATGAGAGGGGGGGCGAGAGGGGCGGAGGGTGGTGGTGGTGGGGAGGAGGAGGAGGATGGGGGAGGGGGGGAGGGTGGAGGAGGGGAGGAGGAGGCTGCCGGTGTGCCACTCGTGCTGTCCTTGCGTTGTTTGTGGGGGAAAGAATGCGGTGAGGATACGGAGTGAGAGTGAGAGTGAGTGTGAGTGTGAGGGTGAGTATGAGAATGATCGTGAGTGTGAGTGTGAGTGTGGGACTGGGTATGGGAGGAGGGAGGTACGGCCTGGGAGGGTGGATACCACGAGTGTGCAAAGAACTGCCCGCCAGCAATGATTGCTTCGATGATTGGGCGGCAAACAGAATCAGGAACAGCAGCCCGCCCCAGATGCTGCCGAATAAACAGTGCCGCCCATAGCAAGCCCGCCCGCCCATACAGCAGCTCGTAGGGAATGCCAGCTGGTGCGATGTCATTGGTCGAGGAGGGGCGCTGGGAGAGCGCAGGAAGTGCCTCAGTGACGAGGTCGAGGAACCTTCGCAGAAACTTCTCACTGTCGTGCTGGCGGCGCTGCAGGTGGGCTACGACCGCCCCCAGGGCAAATATTCCGGGCTGCCCGCAAAAGAAAGAATAATAGCTGCCAGAGGTGGGTGGGGGCGGGGGGGGCGTTTGGGGAGGGGCAGCGAGAAGAGAATGGATCAGCGGAAGGGAAAGAGAGGTGAGAGGGAAGCATGTGAGGGGTTGTAGCGATGAGTGGGTGGTGGTCAGGAGGGGCGGGAGGCGGGGGAGGGGAGGCTAACGAGGAGCATCCATAACCGCTGAATGAATGGAGAGGGATGTGAGCGAGGCCACTCGCTAGCCAACGTGGAATGTGGGCACTCACACGCGGTGCTGACGCTCTGCCAGCTCAGCTGCAGCTCGAGTGATGTCAGCAGCGAGGTCCAGGTCAGCACTGCTGCGAGTGACGTGGAAGGCACGCAGGCACACGAAGGCGGTTCCCAGCAGGCCCGTGTACAGGAAGGGGTCTGTCTTGCTGCCACGTGGAGGCCTGCGGTGCTGCCACGTGGCATGGACCACCTGAGAGCGGGTGGAAAGGGGAAGGCACGAAGTGAGGCATTCGTGGGGTGGTTTTCTTACATCATACCCGCACGCAATCATGATGATGAGGCGCCTTAAGCATGCCGTTTTGCATATGCAGCACTTACCCATGAAACCACGCACCAGCGGGCGCTAGGCCGCAGTGCGCGCCCATACAGCGCGCTTACAGCGCCCCAGCGCGCGCCCATGCACCATGCCATATGCACCGCGCAGCGCCATCGTCACACCTCATCTTTGAGCGCAAGGCCGGCCCCAAGAAACGCCTCCTCCAAAGGAAGCGCCAATCGCCTCTCGACACGTGTCGCGTCGCGTGCGCCTATTTCACTGCCTAATTCCCCGCCTTCTACGCCGGTCTCTTCCCCGGACCCGAGAGTTCCACCTGTCCCGCCCCCTTCTCCTCTTCCTCGCCGCTCTCCCCCATCTGCCCGCCCTTCCGCCTCGTCCGCGTCGGGCAGCAGGTTGCGGAAGCGTCGGTCGTCTAGCACCGCCACGGGGAATGCTTCGTCCCGAATTCGCGACTCTTGCTGTGCCGCCATGTGGGTGAGATTCGAAAAGCTTGCCGGGAATATCAAAGTGGTTTTATTTGTCAATTAAAGCTCAATCGGCGGAGCAAACGTGGTCGCGTGGCCTAATGGATAAGGCGCTCGCCTCCGGAGCGGGAGATTGTGGGTTCGAGTCCCATCGTGATCGGCCATAATTTTGCGTTCGTTCGCTTGCTTTTTCTTACATCACCATTCTCTCCTCAAAATTGCTTCTCGCATCGCAACCCAAATGTCACGCGTCGCCTCACACTGCATACATCGTTTTGCCCCGCCGCATGCGTTTCCGCTTCTACATCGCGCGCCTTCCTCCGCCGCCCCTCACTGCGCGCCGAGCGCGCTGATCGCGCCCCTTGCTCTGCGTGCCATGCGATGGACGCCTCTCGCGCCGCCGGTCCGCGCCAGCCGCCACCTTGCCGGTGCAGCGAGCGCACGTCCAGCCCCTCTGGGGCTGCCACGTGGGGGCAGCAGCTGCGGAGATGGCTTGCTGACGTCATAGTTACTCTGGCCTATGAGCCGCCACTGCCGTCCTTGGCCGCCCGCATTTCCCGGCGCGTTTCCCCGAACCCCCCCGCGCATCCGCCGACGGCACACCCCGCGCGTTCTCAATTGCCTCCTTCCGCTTCCCCCGGCGCTCCAGGGGGAAGCTCCGCCAGTGATGAGAGTTGCGGGGAGGCGCAAGTCGCGAGGGGGGCGCTTCCGCGTCCGCGCGTGTGGCTTCCGCGCCCGCTGCGAGCGGTGGCGGTGGCGCTGCTGGCGGGGGGAGCTGCGGGGTACGGCGCAGCGATGCGCGCGCGGTGGGAGATGTACCAACGCGGATGGCGGAAGCGAAGCAGGTGCGCATATGGGAGTGGGTATGGCAGAAGCACTGGGAAGTGAACTGGGGAGTGGTGTGGGGAGTGGGTTGGTGGCGGCACTTCCCTCCTTGCCCCGTTCCACATCCCCCTTCCGCTCCTCCTCTCTTCCTCCCGTCCCACTTCCCGGGGAGTGGCATGGCAGGGTGGGGGTGGCGGTGATAAGCGTGGGAAACATCACCTGGGGAGGCAATGGAAAGACGCCCATGGTCGCCTCCACCGCTCTGCACCTCCTCTCACTCCTCAACACTGCCCCGCACTCACAACCGGCCTCACAACCTGCCATGTCAGCCACCACCACCATTCCCACATCCTCCTCCCCCACTCCCACAACTCCCCCCTCTCCCACAACCGCCAACACCTCCCCCTCCAACTCTTCCTCCCCCACCCCTCCCCCTCACGCCCCTTCCATCCTCATCCTGTCCCGGGTGAGCCCCCATCCTCCCCTCCTCCCCGCCTCCGCACTACCTCTCACACCTTCTGATATGCCACCTTCATCCCCTCTCGCTCCACTTCCCCCTCTTCCTTTCTTTATCATCCCCACAGTTCCCTCCGTCCTAACTTTTTTCGCCCCTCTTTCCCCCTCTTTGCGCCTCTCCCTCCTCCTTGTTCCCCTTCCGCCACCTTTCCCCGCCCCACCTGCCACGTGGCTCCAAGGGCTATGCAGGGGGTGACGAGGCGCGCATGCTGCAGCGCCAGCTCAGCGGCCACCCAGTTATCATTGCAGTGGGGCGGAAGCGTGCTGACGTGGCACGGCGAGTCATTGGCCAGTTTGGGGCGTGGAGGGGATGGGGGCAGGGAGCAGCGGAGGGGGGAAAGCATGAGGGGAGGAAAGAGGAGGGGAGGAAAGAGGAGGTGGTGGGGCATGGGGGGGTGGATGGGGGTGGTGGTGCAGTGGGGCCTGTTGCTGCTGTGATCATGGACGATGGCATGCAGGTGTGCTCCAACATCTGCATGCTCTGCATCAGAACTTCCATTCGTGCATTGCTCAACACGCACATTGTTCAGTTTCACACCTGTACCCTCCTCGTGCTCCTGCCATCCTCCCTGCCTGCCCTCATCCTCCCCTCCTCCCCTCCTCCCCTCCTCCCCTCTTCCCCCACCAGCACTGGGCGCTGCATCGCGATCTCGACATTGTCATGCTCAATGCCGTGCCGCCGCATGCACAAGGGCAAGAGCAAATACAAGCGCAAGCGGATTCTTATGCGCAAGGGCAATCAGGGTGCAGCAGTCCGTGGGGCAATGGGAAGCTGGTGCCACGTGGACCAATGAGAGAGCGGCTTGAGGCGCTGCAACGGGCAGATGTGGTTGTCATTCATAATGCTGACCTGGTAACCTGCCTTGCTGTCGTAATTTTCTTCACTTGCATGGTGATTTACAGACTGCGTGGTGATTTTTCAGTCGACTCAGAATCAACCTCATGGGTGGCATGCTGATCTGCCATTCGGATATGCCTCTTACCTCCGTCATGTGTGCAGGCGCCCCCGGCGTGTGTGGCAGCGCTAGCAGCACAGCTACAGCACCACATGCCACCACACGCCCTCCTCCTCCACTCCTCCCTCCGCCCCCTCCACCTCCTCTCCCCCTCGCCCTGCTCCTGCGCCTCTTCTCCTCTCCATTCTCTCCCCACTCCATCAGATCACCCTTTCACGTGCTCTCCTCCCACGCCTGCCTCTCCTGCCGGCCCGGCCTCCCCGGCGTGCCATGAGCCGCGGGGCAGCACAGCCTTGAAAGGCGCCCAGGGCAGAGGGAACTCGCACCTGCTGCTGTGCCACAGGGAGGGGGGGGCTGGGGAAGGAGGAGGGGAGGAAGGGGAGGCAGGAGGCGGGGACAGGGTGGTGGCGTGTGCCAGCGTGGCGGGGCGTGATGCCGTGTGTCTCTCCGCCATTGGCTCGCCTGACGCCCTGCAAGCCACACTGCAGACGCAGGTGAGGGTGCCAGGTGGATGGATGGCAATTGGGCTGATACCAATTGTGTGTGGAAATACATTTGGCGGTACTGATCGTGATTGTTGCAGTAGGCCCATCATCCGTGCATCATGCACCTCCACTGCTTTTCCCCATGTGCCATCCTCCCTCCTGTGTGCGACCCTCCTTCCCCCCAGCTGCACCTGAGGCGGGTGGTGAGCATCGCCCTGCCCGACCACTCGCCCTTCTCCCTCCAGGTCAGCTGCTCACACTCCCCTGCCAAGCCAGCTACCACAGCCACCTGCCCATGTGCATGCATGCATGCATGCATGGCAATGGTGCTGCGGCACGCTACCAACTGGCATTCCTTTCCTTCTACCAACTCGTGCGAATTCCCTTTCCCTCTCCCTGCCCGCTGCCCGCCTGTGACTTCTCGGGCAGGAGGTGGGCGCAGTGCAGCAAGCCCTCGCCCTCCTCTCACGCACACCTGATTCCAACTCGCCCTCACATGATGTGCAAGGCGCACACGCACACGTGATGAAAGGAGAGGGTGGAGGCTGCGAGGGGGATTCTGCGTGTGGGCGTGGGCCGTTATTGATACTGACAGAGAAGGTGAGTGCTTGTAGTGAAATGAATGTTGGCATGCTGCTGTTACCCATCGGAGTGCTTTGCTCATTTACTCACTCCACTGAAGTCCTTTTTCTCCTGCTTTCTCCCAGCACCCAATCTCTCTTTCCCCCATTTCCTCACTGCCCTCCCGCGTATCTGCAGGACTTCGATAGGGATCCGCATTTTGTCCGGCACCATCTGGCTCCCTTCTCCCCTCTCATCCTTTGTTGCTCTCTTGAGCTTCTCGATCAACCTTCACAAATTGCACGCTTTCACGAACTATTAGAGAAAACCCTACTGAATTCTGGCGGGAAGGATATGAAATGAGCTTCATGTAGTATAGCACAAGGCTCCCGTAGAAAAATTATCTTTGAATTAATTTGTAAAGCCTCTTGGAAACTTGGAGCTCTTCATTTAGAGGAATTGTAGCGTGCATAGTGTGTACCCCTATGTAAGGAAAATCTATTTTTCCTTACTTCGCGTCCTTGCTCAACGCGTACATCACTGTAGCACCACAGTCAGCACCGTTACCACTCGCAATCCTCGCATCGACAATCCGCCCGCCACCTTCGCACGTCGCACCCCGACCTCACGGCTCGGCGGGTAACCCGCGCTCCGGGCCTCCGCTTCGACACTTTTCCCAACCTCAGTCCCAGGCCCGTCGCGCGACAACCACAGTGCATTACCGTTACCACTGTAGTCTCGCTATATATTCTTCGCTCATGCCTTCGCTCATTGTACTCTTGCTTCGATAGTGCAATTCTCGTTCATTCACTCAATTGCACTCGTAACACTTGGTATTCAGAGCCTACGACCTCTTCTCGGACCGCACCCACACCTTCACTTCCCCACTATCTCAATTTTTGGGGGGGGGTAGACGTCTCTCAGCGACACAGCACCGCCGCTCGTAGTGCTCTCTCGTAAGCACGCACGGCCACGACTGAGGCTCTCGCTGAGCTCGCCCGACACCCCCGCCATGGCCGAATTCACGCTCGCCACATTGACGCAGGAGCAGCTCGACCGTCTGGTGCGCCAACTCGAAGATTCGGCGCTCGAAATTGCGACGCTCACGGCGGAACGTGACTCCGCGCGTCAGCAATCAACAATGAACACTCCAGCGCCACCACACGCACCGACAAATGCATCTGTACAATCAGACGAGCCGATCGTCATCTCGTCCGGCACACCAACACAAAACAACAGCGTGGGACAGCGCTCAGGCGCAGCCAGCGACGGCGCCGCCCAGCCGATGCCTGGCATGGGAGGAAACAGGGTCGCACCAAGCCCGCGGGAGCCTCGCGAAGCCCGTCGGCACGTGGAGTTCGCGGCGACAAGTGGCGAACAGGCCATCATGGCACCAATGCCACTCAAGCCGCAACGCCCGCCCTGCTTCGACCCGAGCCAGCGTGGAGGTCCGACGGTTCAATCGTGGGTCTTCACGATGAACGTCTTCTTCGACGCGAATTACGTCGAGTCGGACGCAGCGAAGATTCGGTATGCAGTTTCGCTGCTAAGGGGCCCCGCCATGGACTGGTGGCGAGTCATCGTGACGTCGCCACGCGCATACGAGCCACCGTCGCAAGAGGAAGGGCCCACGGGTCCAGCGGTCACCTGGAGTTCATTCTGCGAGACCGCCCAATACAGCACGTGGGATGCGTGGTGCGCAGGGCTTCGGGCGCGCTTCGAGCCGATCGCGGCTTCTATTTCTGCGCGTCAGAGATTGCGCACTTGGCGGCAGCTCGGGTCGGTTCAAGATTACACGAGCGGTTTTCTCGCACTTTGCGAGCAAGTCGGATACATGCACGAAGCGGAGCGGGTGGACCGTTACGTCGGAGGGCTGAAGCCGGACATCTCGCACGAAATCATGCTACGCGGACTCTCGAACTTCAACGAGATTCTCGCGCTCGCCGAGAAAATCGACATTCTACGCCGTCCGAGACCGGGGTCCTACTATGGACAACGTCCTCGGGGACCGATCGAGCACGCCACTGTACACGCTGTTGCGACAAATGCAGCTGCCGCGCCGTTTAAGGGGCGCTGCTTTGCTTGCAACAGGCCGGGCCATCGCAAGAGCGAATGCCCAGAGGAGCTAAGGCGCCGTGGAGCAGAGCAGGGAAGGGAGTCTCAGAGGCAGGGAAACACCAGCAGTCAGTAGAAGTTGGGCCAACTACTGACGAGACTGCCTGCTCGCCCAACCGCACCGACCCTCACCGAGTCACAGTACCGATTCACGCCATCGATCGGGCTCGGATGAATAAGGAGGGTACAACGACGGATTGCCCAGTACTGATCTACGGGAAAATACAGGGAGCAGCAGTGAAGATTTTTATTGACGGAGGAGCAAGCCACAGTTTAGTTAATACCGCAACTGCGCGAAAATTGCAGCTGACACTTAGCCGTTGCTTACCGGAGATAGACGCACGCTTAGTCGACGGCACGCCACTAGCCATACGGGAAAAGGTAGAGAGAGTCAAAGTCCGCTGCGGGGGAAATTTCGGGTTTACACAGGAAATGCTCGCAACGACACTGGATGGGCACGATATTTTACTGGGACGTGATTGGCTGCGACGATATAACCCGCGAATTGACTGGACGACGGGTAGCTGCACCGTGCGAAGTAGTGGTAACTGGGTCGAGCTACCTCGCTGGCAGTCGCCCGAGTCTTCAACGGTACACGTCAACGCCATCACAATGAAACGGGTTGTCGCTGCTGGAGCTGACGTGTACGCAGTAGACATCGCAGTAGTAGAGGAAGCAGAGCAGCCGAGTGATTTCAAGAAACTCCTGGCAGCCGTACCGCCCGAATTACAGGAACTGTTGAAACGGTACCCGGGGATTTTTCCAGACGACTTACCGGAAGGACTGCCACCTCAGCGAGCACATGACCACCGAATCGAATTAGAACCAGGGGCACAGCCAACCGTACGTTCAGACTGACACAGCCCGAGCTCGACGAACTAAGGAAGCAGTTAGTGTGAAAGTTTAAGAGGAATTAAGAAGAAGGAGGGTTGCACTAGCAAGAATGAGGATACAAATAGCAAACCCTAGAAGGGTTGTACTCGCTATAGAGCACCCCACTACAGGCTAGAGCATAATATTCTGACACACCCCCATAGCCAAAGTGGGGTGTAATCAGCAGAGCAAGCAAAGCAGTACAAGCTCAGGGTGGATCACAATGTCACCACACATTCTGAGCACAAGTTCAAGAAGCAATAGTTTAAAGTTCACAATTATGAGCAAAGCTAGAGGCTATCGCAGAGGGCAAGTGAGGAGGAGGAGAGACTGTGGGGGAGAGAAGATGGGAGGCGACTGCTGACGCTGCAGACACACAGACGAGCTGCTGGCTCAGTGGCTACCGGAACAACGCTCCGGACTACTGGGGTAACTGGCCCCGCAGCTAAAAGTAGCGGCAGACGAGCAACGGACCCACGGGCGACTGGCGACTACCGGAGATTGTAGCCTCCGGACTGCTGCTGCTGCTGACGACAAGACTGCTGCCTCCACTCGACCTCCCCCAAACAGTACCACCCCTCCTGACACACACCCGCTGCTACACCGCTAGCTCCACTCCCCCTTCACCCCCCCTTAGCACCACTCCAACGGCTCCAACAAGTCCACCCCCCCTCAGCGGCAGCTGCAGCACAGGGAGACGGAGGAGGAGGAGGAGCAGGGAACGGCACACAGTAGTTTCACCCCCATACCCCTCACCCCCAAACCCTAATTCAGGAGAACGGGCTGTAGGAGGGGTGGGGCGCCAGCAGAAGCACGGGGGACAGCGGGGAGGGCAGGGGCAGCGAGGAAAGGGCCGCCCACGGGCCTGGCACAGCCTCCCGAACCGCGCGCAGGCGGCCCGAGCCGCGCGCGGGCCTGGCGCAGCCCGTACGGGCCGCGCGCGGGCCTGGCGCAGCCCGTACGGGCCGCGCGCGGGCCTGGCACAGCCCGTACGGGCCGCGCGCGGGTCTGGCGCAGCCCGTACGGGCCGCGCGCAGGCCTGGCGCAGCCCGTACGGGCCGCGCGCCGGCTGTACGGGCCGCGCGCAGGCCACGACGGGCGACGGGGGGCGACGGGGGGCGACGCGCGGGTCCCCGTCGCCCGTCGCAGCGCCTCCCGAGGGCGACGCGGCGAGTGACGGGGTAGAAGCCCGCCGCGCGCCTCGGGGCGCACAGCGGGCAGAGAACCGCCGCGCGCCACGGGGCGCACGGCGGGCAGAAAACCGCCGCGCGCCTCGGGGCGCACGGCGGGAAGAAAAACTGCCGCACGCCACGGGGCGTGCGGCACAGAAGGTAGTAGTGGAAGTTGCAGCGGAAGCAACGAGGTGGTGAGCCCACCCACAGGATCGATCCAAGGGGATCGACCTGCTCTGATAGCATGTGAAAGTTTAAGAGGAATTAAGAAGAAGGAGGGTTGCACTAGCAAGAATGAGGATACAAATAGCAAACCCTAGAAGGGTTGTACTCGCTATAGAGCACCCCACTACAGGCTAGAGCATAATATTCTGACAGTTAGATTACCTGTTAGAGATAAAATTCATCAGACCGAGCTCGTCACCGTTCGCCGCACCGATACTATTCACGCCGAAAAAAGACGGGGGTTTTCGCATGTGTATCGACTACAGAGCACTGAACAGGGTAACAGTCAAGTCGCGGTACCCCATTCCCCGCGCGGACGAACTGATCGACCAACTGCGCACAGCACGGGTGTTTTCGAAAATAGACTTACGGGGGGGTTACTATCAGATTCGGGTCGTACCATCGGACTGCGCCAAGACAGCATTTAGGACTAGGTACGGGTCGTTTGAGTACACGGTGATGCCTTTCGGGCTGACCAACGCACCCGCAACATTTCAGATGACCATGAACGAGGCGTTTAGGCCACTCTTAGATAAATGCGTGATAGTTTACCTCGACGACATCCTAGTCTACAGTCGCGACAAGCAGCAGCACTTAGCGGATCTCGAAGCGGTATTAAAAGTTTTAGAGGAACATCGGTTACTCACCAAGGGCTCTAAGTGCGAGTTCTTTCGGGACAGACTAGAATTTTTGGGGCACGTTATTTCGGAGGCTGGAGTTGAAATCGACCCAAAGAAGCTAGATACGGTAAAAGCGTGGCGTCCCCCGACGAACATCACGGAACTGCAGAGTTTTTTAGGATTCGTTAATTATGTTCGTCGGTTCGTCCCCGACATGGCACAGTTGACTGCCCCGGTGACGGATTTACTGCGAAAGGGGGTCGTTTTTACGTGGGGGGAGAAAGAGCATGCTGCCTTCTCTGCCCTGAAAAATGTTCTCTGTTCACCGCCCGTCCTGCGCATCGCCGACCCACACCGCCCCTTCGAGGTTGTTACAGACGCAAGCGACATCGCCATTGGAGCCGTACTGCTACAAGACTTCGGCAACGGCCTACAGCCCATCGCATACGAGTCACGAAAACTGCATCCGCCCGAGCGAAATTACCCGATACACGACCGCGAAATGCTCGCGATCGTGCATGCGTTCAAAGTGTGGCGCTGCTACTTGACCGGCGCAGACGTGACCGTACGGACAGACCACCGATCACTACAGTACCTCCGCGCACAGCCCTCCCTCAACCCACGACAGATTCGGTGGCTCGATTTCCTCGAGTCAAACTTCCACTATACAGTCACCTATAAAAAAGGAGCCTCGAACATCGCCGACGCACTGACCCCCCCCACTGCCCAGATCCACGCGATACTACTCGCCCAGACCAGCCCGCTACTGACAGGACTATTTACCCACGGATATCAAACGGACCCATTCTTCACAGGAGGAAATTCGCAGCAGTTCGCAACAGCCAAGGGAGTCTATTACGTAAAAGTCGGGACCGACCGCATCTGGGTACCAGGGTACACACTGCTACGGGAACTACTATTACAGGAGGCACACGACGGGGTTACCTCGAGACATTTCGGGGTAGAGAAAACACGGCAGCAGCTGCAGCGGTATTATTACTGGCCCGAAATGTTGACCGACGTGCAGCGACACGTGGCATCGTGTCCCACTTGCCAGATCATGAAGTCAACACGGAAGCGGCCGGCGGGACAGTTGCAGCCAATCCCACCTCCAGAGCGTGCTTGGCAGCAGGTGACGATGGACTTCGTCACGGGGTTACCGGCCGGGGCGAGTGGAAATGACGCGATCCTGGTCGTCGTCGATCGACTGACGAAAATGGCACACTTCGCAGCTTGCAAAAAAATCAATCACAGCCGAAGAAACAGCCCGCCTCTTCATCTCTACCGTCGTTCGACTGCACGGGATACCAGCATCAATCATCAGCGACAGAGACACGAAATTCACCAGCAACTTCTGGCGGAACCTGTGGCAGCAGTTCGGCACGCGACTACAGTTTAGTTCATCGTACCACCCCGAAACAGACGGACAGACAGAACGGACAAATCAGACCATGGAACAGCTCATCGGGCCACGTGCGACGACCCAAACACGTGGGAACAGCAACTGCCACTCATCGAATTCGCATACAACAACGCCCCATCCGCCACGACCCAACAGTCACCGTTTTACCTGAATTACGGACAAGACCCAACAGTACCCATGACCCCGAATCCCGACAACCCGGTTCCACGCGCGCAACAGTTCGTCGGAATTTTGCAAGCAGCACGGACCAGGGCAGCAGACGCAATTAAAAAAGCTAACATCATCGCTAAACGCAACGCCGACCGCCACCGCAGACCTGTCACTTACCAGCCCGACGACTTAGTTTTGCTCGACACCCAAAATCTCCGACTGCCCATCACCCCGAAACTCCGCCCCCGATACTGCGGGCCATTTCGCATAAGCCACATGCTTACACCTGTCACCGCCCACCTCCTCCTCCCTGCTGACTGGTACGTCAGCCCCTCGTTCCACGTCAGCGTGCTTCGCCCTTACGTCCCGTCCACGAGCCAACTGCCACGCAATCGCCCAGCCAGCATGACAAGACCACCGACTGAACCAATCATCACCCCCGAGAAAATCCTGAGTCACAGAGTTCGCGACCCTCGAGGAGCCTGAAGGATCGAGTTCTTACTCCGCTGGAAGGACCGTACACCCACCGAAGACAATTGGGTTCCCCTGGACAGAATCGAAAACCACCCCGTCCTCACCGAGTATCTGCGCAGCCTGAACTTCAGGGATGTACACGCACTTTCGTAAGGAGGACCTCCTTAAGGGGGGGGGGTAGTGTAAGGAAAATCTCTTTCCTTACTTCGCGTCCCTGCTCAACGCGTACATCACTGTAGCACCACAGTCAGCACCGTTACCACTCGCAATCCTCGCATCGACAATCCGCCCGCCACCTTCGCACGTCGCACCCCGACCTCACGGCTCGGCGGGTAACCCGCGCTCCGGGCCTCCGCTTCGACACTTTTCCCAACCTCAGTCCCAGGCCCGTCGCGCGACAACCACAGTGCATTACCGTTACCACTGTAGTCTCGCTATATATTCTTCGCTCATGCCTTCGCTCATTGTACTCTTGCTTCGATAGTGCAATTCTCGTTCATTCACTCAATTGCACTCGTAACACCCTACCTTCCTAGTCTCCGCCTAACCTGCTGAACGAACCTGACGTTGGCGAAGATGCATAGCGATTTCCGTAGGTGTGATGTGGCGCTGCGTACGCATTCGGGAGAGAGACGAGCTTTGCGCCACTTTCGGTGATGTTGACCACGTCAACCAGCTTCGAGCCGTACCCGTTACAGCTGCACTGAACGAACCCCTCTCTGCCATGGTCCCAACCCAACCCAAGCCAAATCATCGAATTTTGTCCTCTGGTGTCGGAAGAAACAAAGGACATGAAACGCATCGACCATGCTCGTTCGTTCCCCCTCCCGCCAGGCTTGCCAGGAGGGTCATTCCGCGTCAGCGATAACACCGACATTCGGTGGCGGCAAGGATGGCTTTCAAGTCGGGGAGGCTAGGCTAGGCTCTCAACATCGACGCGCGAAACTGGAACGCGACGCGGCTACGTACGAAGTGAGGGGCCAGCCACACGGATGCGAGAAATTCGCAACTGGCGAGCTGCGCATTTCGAATAAATTGGGTTGCGCTGCACGCATAACCATCCACATTTCTCGTCACTCTTCACTGCCATTCCTCCTGCTCACGTCTCAGCTTACTCATTGGGACGTTTTTACAGGAACACCATACCCACGCAACTGACCTCCAAGTCTCGCGAAACAAGCACCCCCCTTCTCCTTTCTTACCCACCTCACAAAAGCACATGGCGTCGGCATCCAGAGGGAGCATTCTCTCCGAGCTAGGCATAACGCCCACCACACTCATCTCGCTCGTCTCGCCACTCCTCTCCATCCCCTGCTGCCTGCTCCTCCGCGCCACCCCCTCCACCTCCGCGCGCCATGCCATCGGCGCGCTTACCGGACTGTTTCTCGCGCTCTCCGCTTTCGGTCCCACCATCTGGGCGCACTATGCTGTGCTCCTCACCTTCGCTTATAGCGCAATGTGCTTGTTTCGGAAACGATGCGGGATAATCACTCTGCTCGGCACATTCGCTTACCTCATCGTATGGTAAGCCTCGTCTGTTTTATCCTTACGCTTACTTCCAAGCACCGTTTTGCACTCGCGTCCTCCCTTCCGCGCTCTAAAGTCTCTATTATTAACGAACCCTGCTACCCGATCTTTTCTTCACCTCCCCGCTGTTCCCTCCGACATTTCAGCCACGTGGTGTACGATAGCGGCTCGGCGCGCAGGGATCAGGGCATCGACTTCGCCGGTACGCTTATGATGGTGACACTCAAGCTGACGTCATGCGCCTTCGACTACCAGGACGGCCAATACCTCTCCGACCCCGTCGCCGCCGATTCCGCCGCGAGTGCCGCTGCTAATGGGCGGCCCATCCGCGGTGCGGACCGGCATTTGTGCGACCTTCCTTCTCCGCTTGAATTCATGGGTTACATGTTCTGCGGCGGGTTACATCTCACAGGACCGTACTTCGAAATGAAACCGTACCTCGAGTGGGCGAGGCACGAGGGTGTGTGGTCACGATCCGCGCGAAAGGCGCCGTTCTTGGTGCCGCTTTTGACGGCGCTGGCATGGGCCGTACCGTCGGGGCTGCTCCACCTGATGCTTAAACCGCGTATGAACGTCGCAATTACCTCAGACCCCGCTCAGGTCTGGAGCGTTTCGTACGTGGCGCGATGGGGGTACGCGATCCTGGCGACGTACGCCGTACGTACGAAGATCTACTACGTGTGGATGGTGGCGGAGGGCAGCATGGTCGCGAGCGGACTAGGTTTCAGCGGATGGGTGCCGCAACGCGGAGCTGCCGCTTCTAACAGCAGCAGGGGAAGCAGCAGAGCGCGGGGAGAAAAAGCGGAGCTAAGGGGACGGCGCGGGGGACTGGCCGGACAGGCGGATTGCGAGCCAGTGAGGGAGGTTTTCGGGGAGAGGTGTGTGAACGGTGGTGACGCGGACGTACCTGCACTGACGACTGCGGCGGTCACAGGAAGTGTGATACTATCGGATAGTGATGAAGACGAGAACAGCGCGCCTGTGATTAGGGCGAGTGTGCGAAAGACGAGCAGCAAGTCCAGGCCGAGAGTGGCTTTGACCGCAGCTGTGCCGCAGCTGGAGCAGATCGACTCGGACGAGGAGAGGGAGAGGGAGACGGGGGGGAAGAGGGGGAGTGGGGAGGAGCGGGAGGTGGAAGCTCAGGAGGCGAGCTGGAAGCGGGCGCGCAACATTGACATCGTGGGGGTGGAGGCGGTGACGGGCATGCATGGCTTCGCCAAGAACTGGAACGTGCGCACCGGCGAATGGCTCCGCACCTGTGAGTCCGCGTTTCAGCCCCCCTCCCTGTTTGCCTCTCTCTATCGCTTTCCCGCCACTAGACACATGACTGCATCTTTTCTGTCTGTGTTCTCATCTCACACGTACTCACTCTCTCCTCCCCACGCCATTCGTCCCCCAACCATTGACGTGCAGACATCTACGAGCGTGTGACGCCAGAGGGGCAGAAGCCAGGCGTGCTGCCACTGATACTCACAGTCTGCACCAGCGCCGTCTGGCATGTAAGCCCCTTTCCACCCTTCACCTCTCTCACCTTCTGCTCCACTTGCTCCACTCCACCTTATGATGATCCCATCCCCACATTCCATGCCATTCCAGCACTATGTCCCTTTGCCGAGTCTGATCCCCCGGTGCCACGCCCTCACAATGCATCTACCTTTTCTCTACCCACGGCCCCTCTATGTTCTCTGCAGGGTGTGTACATTGGCGACTTCTTCTTCGCCCTCAACATGGCGTGGCTCATCATGGGTTCGCGCATCATCTACCGCTACCAGCGCACCATCCCCGCCTCCTCCCGCCTCCTCTCCCTCACGGTCGCCATGCTGCACTCCCTCTACTCCTTCCTCGGCGCCAACTACTCGGCGCAGGGTTTCATTCTCCTCTCTGCTTCACAAACACTCGTGGCGTACAGCGGCATGGGTTGGGTTGGCACGCTGTTGCCTCTCATTCCTGTGGCACTGTCACAGTTGGGCAAGCTAAGGGGGGCCCGGATCGCGGAAGTGGCATCCACAAGACATTCCAAAGTTCAGTAGCATGTCTGTAGTAGGGAGACAATATATACTATGTATAGGTTACTGTAGAAATGTAGACTTCTCAAAAGGTGAGCTCATATGGATTGAATGGCATGCCTTTTATGCCTTGCAATCCCCATGAGCTGATCAGGCAAACTGTTAAATAAACGTGCTGTATCCATTGATAGCAAATAACAACTGCCAACATGGACCTTTTCCCATGAAGTGTTTTATGTGTCTCGCCATAGTGTGTCTGAAAAAGAAAGGGAATGGAGAAAGAAAGGGAGAAGGAAAATGAAACTCCCAAAAAGAACCCAAATGCAACACACATAAAACCCCCCCTCAAGATACCCAATCAAAACGCCCAGTCAAGACACCCCATCAAGACATCCCATCCCACGCCCCATCCCCCCCCCCCCCCCCCCCTCAATCACATCAACGTATCGACCATGTACGGGGCCTCCACCCAGAGAGCCCCGCCTTCCACATCGACATCGTCCCTCTCCCGATCCGCCAAATCTACGTTAATCCCCCCCATGGAAGACGCCGCTCGAAGCAGGATGACACGGGCTTGCGCACGTTGTAACGCCACCCCGATGAGCGCCTTCAGTGACCCTAAAAGATAAGCCGAAAACACAGAGTCGTCCTCTCGACAAGCCCCCCGCGACACAGCTAGCCCCACGTGCGCATCCCCCTGCTGACGAAGCCACCGCTGAAAACGACCGCCGAGACACCCCCACGTCTCAACTATCAAAGGGGTGAACTGCACGCCCCGGTTGCGTGCAAGCAGAGGCGCGTAATCACTCGTTTTGCGACGCTCCCATTCCCTTGCCGCCACACCTATTTGACGCCCGCACTGTCCCAGCAGTGATGGAGACAGCGATAGCGGGTCCGCGACGCTGATCTCTAGGGCGTGAGCCTCTCCAGCCATTGGACGTCGCACCGCCACATCAACCCGCTTCCCTTGCAGCATCACACTATCCTCCAATGTCACCACCCCCCCCCGACGCCTTAGAGATCTTCGCCACCGCAAACTTCACCTCATCATGCACCCGAGAAGGACCATGCTGGTGCCTGCATCTCAGGGCATGGTGCGGGTCTGCTGGGTCAACATACGCTGTGCCACAAACACACCTCCCCGCCACCTGCAGCTGCTGAATTGGGAGGCCGAGCCGTATAGCAGCAGCAATGACCCACTCAGCCGCAGTGAATGTGAGATCTGAGTGAGCCAGAACCGCCGAAACCCATGCACCTGCCCCCGGGCCCTGAAGGGATGTGAAACGGGCCAAGGTAACATCGTCACGAGCCAAGCGGCGCAGTGCCTGGAGCTCCTCTACAGCTAACTGCCGCTGACGCGCCTGGAAAAGCCGAACAGGAGGGGCCGCTACACACAGAGGTAAGCCCGGTATCTCGTGGCGGATAGTCGCTGGCAGCTGCTCGAGAGCCTTGACAAACCACGGGTCAAGAAACTCTGCCCCTGTCGAAGTGGTGAGGTACTCAGCAAACATCGCCTCCTCACCCGCCACCCCTAACTGTGCAATGTCCCGCGCGGCCTGCGCCCACCCGCAAACATAGGACAGTGGGCTCAAAGAGGCCGCCGCCCGGATCCCGAACCCACCGAGACGCACAGGGAGATGCAGCTGCATGCGTGCGCGCCTAGACCGGTCGGGGTCCTGCTCCCAAGTGCCAGGTGGGAAAAGCTGCTCAAAGCAATCCTCTAAACAGCTGTCCCAATCCCTAAAAGCCTCAACCACCTCCGGACGCGGCGGCATAGTCCGGGCGAGGTACATCGCCCGCGCTGAAACTGCAATGGCGAGGAGGTGTGAAGCCATCTGGGGGTGGTCGAGCAAGGGGAGCCATGGCAGTGGCGCCTGCAACTGTCGAAGCCGCTCCCGTAGCCGGACCACCTCCCAAACCTCCTCTCCAATAGGCACGCCCACCACAGTAAGACCCTCATCCACCCGCTGCATCCCCAATGGCAGTGCCCGCTCCACCTCCTTGCCCTCGCGCTCCCAAAACCGGCACTTGTGCGCCTGCACCTCCAGCCCCACCCACTCCAACCGCTCCCGCAGCACCCCAAAAGCCTCCAGAATCCTAGCCGCTGGCCCCAAAATATAGGTATCGTCTGCATAGCTGAGGAAAAGCAGGTCCTTGAACTCCCTAGTAACCGGCTCCATCACCTGCTGCTGCGTGAACGCGAAAAGAAAAGGGCCGAGCGGGTCCCCCTGCCTCGATCCCCGTGCTGACTCGAGGCTCTGTACGAAAGGGCCTGCTCGGAGGTACAGGTCGCTAGGTGTCCCATAAAAGACACGCAAGAATGGGATCATCCCTGAGAAAGGCGACTCCCGCAGCCCATCGAACATCACATGACGGTGAAACGAATTGAAGGCGTTTGCGACGTCTATCTGTAGCGCACACCAGTCGGGGTGAGTGGCTAGCGCTGACCGGAAAGAATGAGTGAGAATCTCCGCCCCGACCCTGGTGCCCGCTCCCAGCTGGTTGCACGGCAGGAAGTAGGAAACCATCGCAGGGCGGAGCGAGATGCAGAGAGCTCGAGCAAGGATACGAGGAAGCACCTCCCCGATTGCCACCGGCCGGACGCAGGGCTGATTTTATCATGGTAATTACCCTGATTTCAGGGTGATTTCAGACTTGTCACATTCTGGTCCCTGTAATTTCAGGTTTAACGACTTCTGAACACTGATCTTGTCAGAGTAGTACTTTAGCGAACCCTGGAATTTTGTATACACTCACAGAGTAGTGTTCTTAAGGACCCTGTCCATACAGAGTATGCGTCTTGTTGACCCTGAATGCAACGTTATCGGGACGAACCTTCCAGGAATCTTCGTCCCGATAACCCCCGTGTGCGTAATAATGATTAGGCTTGCACCCATCTCAGGACTCCATGCGCGCGCGCTATCCAGGTTATCGCAGTACACTAAGTTTCTGTTAGAATGACTCAACATTCGGTTTCTGATTTTTGTTAGCTGTAAACAAATCGCGATCTGGCGAATCGCAAGGTGATTCGGCAGGAGATAAAAAAAAACCATCCGTAGTAAAACATTGTATTGCCATGTGATGTGACTGATAGTTTTTAGTCATCAGCTGTTTTTTGCTAACTGTGAAACTAAACGACACACTAATATTAAAAAGTGTCCACCCCCACCAAAACCAGGCCGAGTCTCGGTCTCGACACCCCTCCCATTAGCAGTCCGTCCCCTCATTTCCTCCCCCCTTTTCCCCCTTTTGTGCGGACGACCCGCGGTCATGAAATAGCCTCCACCCACCCCACTCACTTGCTCCCTCCCCCTTTGCACACCCCTCGCTCTCGCCCCTGCGCCCCTAGGAGATTCTCGGCTGCCACATGCACTCCCTCCAGCCAATCCGCCAATCCAGCCCAATCCAGCTAGAATTCTCGCGTCAAACACGTTCCTGTTTTTTCGCATAACTAGAAAGAAGAAAAAAATCAACCCTGATTTCAATTTGCCAACCCTGACAGCCCAGACTTACGATTTCGTGAACCCTGAACATCGCAAGAAGGCTCAGGCTAGGCGTTTTGCGGAAAATGTGCCTTCAGGGTAAATCTTTTTTTGGGGGAGCGAAAACAGGGTACCCACATTTGAATCGTCAGCCCTGGCCGGACGTCGCCGTTAGGCTTGGAAAGCCCGACTAGGTTGGATGCGGCGAGCCACGGCCGAGCCCGCTCGGGGACCTGTCCCGCCACCCATTGGTTGAACACTTCCAACAGGTGGGAGAGGCAGGTAGGTTCAGTGAGGAAGGTGTCGCAGGCAAACTGTTTGTATGCATGCATGACTACATAATTGATAAATCCAAATTATACGTGAAATGAGAGTCAGCTTGTAAGGAATTTCGCTAATTCCTTACTGAGGCATCTCTTACGCGTAGAATTCCAACTTTCGGAATTCAGGCTCGGTCCGACGACCTCGCCTTCCGAACGTCTCCCGCGTCGCCCTCGGGTTTCCCAACCCCAAACCTGCACCCAACCTTCACGCGACTCCGCGACCTCGGCCTAGCTAGCTGTGCTATATTATACCTAGGCCTCGTTGTTTGCTCAGTAGTTGTAATCACTTCCGCGATATTGCATTCTGCGCACTCTTCTTTCATACAACTCATAACACTTGGTATCAGAGCTACTTTCCTAGGTTACCCTCCACTTTTCGGGGTAGTTTTAGTGCAGGGGTGCAATAGGTTTGGTGGGCTGCAAAGCGGTCGGTTGAGAGATAGATACGATTATCTCGCTCCGACTAATAGCGTTTGCGCCTTCATCAAAACCATAAAAATCGCTGTTAACCCGCTGCCCGCTAGGATGAGTCTCCGAAACATGACACAAGCAGAGTTTGACGTGTTTTTGCAGGACTTTCGGGCGATGCAATCCAACATGCAGACTATGTCTGGCAAGTTGGAGCGCCTGAGGGTGGAAAACGCCGAGCTACGCCAGACGCGAGGTGAAGCGCGTCAGGAGTCGGCCGCCGTGGATGAAGCAAGTAGCAGCTTCGCGCCTAACGACGAGGTCCTTAGCGAGCTACAGGACTCGCTGGACGCTGAAGATGAGTGGACGGCACGGATGCAACAAGCACAAGGGACGCAGGGGCAACAGTCACAGCCGCAGCAACAGACACGAGCGGCGCCGAGGCAACAGTCGCAGACTACACCACGTCAGGCAACAGCGACAACCCCGGTGATGGCTTCAGTGGCGCCCCCGATGCATGCAGCAGCAACAGTCTCAACAACTGTTAAAATAAAACCGACGAACCCACCCCCGTTCAACCCCAGCGACAAAACCGTCACTGTGTCGGCATGGTTGTTCGGAGTGGAGGTGTTTTTCAATGCTGCGCAAATTGCTGACGATGCTACCCGCATTAATTTTGCAGTGTCACTGTTACGAGGGCCGGCGTTGGAGTGGTGGAAGCGGACTCTTCAGACAGGGGGGACTCCTGCAGGGATGTCACGTGTGAACGACGGGACCTGGACAACTGTCACGCAACAGGCAACTTCAATCTTCGGAGTGGCCACGATACGCACATGGACGGAGTGGGGCGCCGCGCTGCGAACCAGATTCGAGCATGTATCCGCCTCGGATTCTGCTCGCATGAAGCTGCGCACCTGGAAGCAGGTGGCGTCGGTCCAAGATTACACGGCAACATTCTGCAATTTGGCTGACCAAGTGGACGATATGAGCGACGCGGAACGACTCGACCGATATGTCGCAGGCCTCAAGTACGAAGTACAGTACGAGGTGCGACGGGCGAGGCCACGCGGTTTTCTCGATGCCGTCCAGGTGGCTGAATCAACGGATGCGCTGATGCAATGGGCGAGAATGAGTTCCCGGGAGGGCACTCAATTTCGTGGACCGCCGCGCCAGCCCACAATCAACGGGGTGGATGCACCGAGACGTGGACCTAACACGTGCTTCAACTGCAACCAACCGGGCCACTGGAGGAAGGACTGCCCGAAGCTGAAACAGGGAAACAGGAACGACGGAGAGGGGTCGGGAAAAGAGACGAGTCAGTAGCAGTCGGGCCACCTACTGACGAGACCCCGTCGCCCAGCAATCAACATCCACACCGAGTGGTGGTACCGATACGGGCTATCGACCGCAACCGGACGAATAAGGTGGATGAACACGTGGATCACCCTGTGCTGGTCGTGGGGAGGGTTAACGGCTATAAAATAAAATTATTCGTTGACGGTGGGGCGAGCCATAGTCTCGTCAACCTGGCAACGGCCAAAAAAATAGGGGTCAAACTGGACAGGTGTCTGCCCGAGATTGACGCGCGACTGGTGGACGGGACACCGCTGGCGATAAAAGACGAGGTCCGACAAATTCGGATGAAGTGTGGCGACGATTTCGGGTTTTCAATGCGAATGCTGGCGACAACACTGGACGGTTGCGATGTGCTGCTGGGACGAGATTCGCTACAGCGTTTCAATCCGACGATCGACTGGACGACGGGGGCGATCACGGTGCTGTGCAACAAGGGGCGCGTGACACTTCCGAAATGGGCGGAGCCGGAGCCGATGACAACACGTGTCAACGCAATAACGATGAAGAGGGCGATAAAACGGGGAGCGCAAGGCTACGCCGTACGGCTGTACGAGGTGGTGGCTTCCGAAAAAATCGCCGACATCGACACGCTCTGCGCTGCTGTACCCAACGACGTGGCGAGCATAATTCGGAGGTATCCCGAAATCTTCGCGGATGACCTGCCTGACGAGCTGCCACCTCAGCGTCCGGAGGACCACAGGATCGAGCTGGAGCCAGGCGCAAAACCAACTGTTCGGTCACAGTGGCGGCTCAGCCAACCGGAGCTCGACGAGTTGCGGAAACAGCTGGATTATCTGCTTTCGAAGGGTTTTATCCGGCCGAGCACGTCACCATACGCCGCCCCGATACTGTTCACACCGAAAAAGGACGGAGGCCTGCGCATGTGCATCGACTATCGAGCGTTGAACCGGGTCACGATCAAGTCACGTTACCCGATCCCACGAGCGGACGACCTGCTGGATCAGCTTCGCGGGGCTCGCTTCTTCTCGAAAATCGATTTGCGAGGTGGCTACCACCAAATTCGCGTGTTCGCCGACGACTGCCCGAAGACTGCGTTTCGCACCCGCTACGGCAGTTACGAGTACACTGTGATGCCGTTCGGGTTGACGAACGGGCCCTCGACTTTCCAGCTCACCATGAATGGGGTGTTTCGGGACATGCTGGACAAAAAAGTTATCGTTTATCTGGACGACATCCTGGTGTACAGCAAGACTCGGGAGCAGCATTTACAGGACTTAGAGGAAGTGTTCCGGCGCTTGTAGCAGAACCGACTGATTACTAAGGGCTCTAAGTGTGAGTTCTTACAGTCGGAGCTGGAGTTCCTGGGGCACGTGATTTCAGGGGAGGGCATTAAAATTGACCCTCGCAAAGTGACGGCGATTTCGGAGTGGAAGCCGCCCACGAACATCACGGAGTTGCAGAGTTTCCTCGGCTTCGTTAACTACGTCCGCCGTTTTGTACCGAATATGGCGGGGGTGACTAGGCCGTTAACCGATCTTCTGCATAAGGGCGTGCAATTCTGTTGGGGGGAGAGAGAACAGCTGGCTTTCAACGAGCTGAAGAAAATTTTGAGTTCAACCCCGGTGCTTCGACTGGCAGATCCATCTCGACCATTCGAAGTCGTGACGGACGCCAGCGATTTCGCCGTGGGCGCTGTGCTACTACAGGACTTCGGCAACGGGCTGCAACCCATCGCGTACGAATCAAGAAAAATGCAGCCGCCCGAGCGCAACTATCCGGTCCACGACAAGGAAATGCTCGCCATCGTGAATGCATTTCGTACCTGGCGCTGTTACCTCACGGGAGCTGACGTCACCGTCCGAACCGACCACAAGTCATTACAATACATGCGCAGCCAACCACAACTCAATCCGCGACAAATCCGGTGGCTCGATTACCTCGAGTCCAATTTCAGCTACACCATCACGTACAAAAAGGGCGCCAACAACATCGCCGACGCCCTGACCCGACCATCAATGCAGACCGCAGCAGTACTAATCGCCCATTCTAACCCTTTATTGACAGGATTATTCAAGCATGGCTACAGGATTGACCGGTTTTTCCGGACCAATCAACACCACGGGGTCACCACGGCGCATGGGAGCTACTACCTAAAAGTCGGTACTAACCGAGTTTGGGTACCTTCCTACCGACCCTTACGAGAATTGCTGACGCAGGAAGTACACGACTCCAACCTCTCCGGGCATTTCGGCGTCGACAAAACGTTGAAGCTGCTGCAACGGAATTATTATTGGCCCGACATGGCGTCCGACGTGCAGCACTACGTGTCCGCCTGCCCGACCTGCCAAGCAATGAAGTCATCACGCCAACGCCCAGCTGGATTGCTGCAACCCCTCGAGCCACCCGAACGACCGTGGCAACAAGTGACAATGGATTTCGTCACAGGACTACCGGCGGGCGCAAGTGGCAACGACTCGGTACTTGTCGTCGTCGATCGCTTAACGAAAATGGCGCATTTCGCACCATGCCGCACGACGATCACAGCCGAAGAAACAGCGAAGCTCTTCATCTCGACCGTCGTACAACTACACGGGTTGCCATCGGCGATAATCAGCGACCGCGACCCAAAATTCACGTCGAAGTTCTGGCAGGAGACGTGGGCACAGTACGGCACCCGCCTGCAGTTTTCGTCGTCGTACCATCCACAGACCGACGGACAGACAGAGAGGACAAACCAGACGATGGAGCAGTTGATTCGCACGAACTGCCCCGACATCACCAAGTGGGAGGATTCCCTTCTCATGCTCGAGTTTGCGTACAATAACGCCCCATCTGCAACAACCAAGCAGTCGCCGTTCTACCTGAATTACGGGATAGATCCGGTAGTACCCTCGTCAACAACTCCCGATAACCCGGTACCAAGGTCGCAGCAGTTTGTTTCGGAACTACAAGCAGCGCGAGACAAAGCAGCGGAATTTATCCGGAAGGCTAATACGGCCGCCAGCCGCTACGCCGACCGACATCGACGGAATTTACCCTTCCGTGACGGGCAGATGGTCCTCCTGGACACAAAAAACCTCAAGCTGCCCCAGCCTGCAAAACTGCGTCCCCGCTACGTGGGACCCTTTCGCATCATTCGGATGCTGACACCGGTCACTGTGAAACTTCTCCTACCGGACGACTGGAAAATCCACGACGCTTTCCACGTCAGTTTACTTCGCCACTATGTGGCACCGCAGTCGTCCGACGTCGCCCGACCCCACCAGGCGCCAAGTGTCCGACCTGTGGCAGACCCGACGCTTCAACCTTGGAAGATATTGAACCATCGCATTCGTGCGACCCCCGCCGGACGCCACGTCGACTTCCTGCTACGCTGGGTGGATCGCACAAGCGACGATGACACGTGGGTCCCGGCTGACTCACTACAAGGGCACTCGGTACTTCGGCAGTATCTTTCTCGCCGACATGTGCCTGATATCGACCACCTTTCTTGAGGGGGGGGGGTAGTGTAAGGAATTTCGCTAATTCCTTACTGATGCATCTCTTACGCGTACAATTCCAACTTTCGGAATTCAGGCTCGGTCCGACGACCTCGCCTTCCGAACGTCTCCCGCGTCGCCCTCGGGTTTCCCAACCCCAAACCTGCACCCAACCTTCGCCCGACTCCGCGACCTCGGCCTAGCTAGCTGTGGTATATTATACCTAGGCCTCGTTGTTTGCTCAGTAGTTGTAATCACTTCCGCGATATTGCATTCTGCGCACTCTTCTTTCATACAACTCATAACACAGCTGCTAGCTGCAAATATACTCATTTCCCTGCATTTTGGCCACACCAGCATGACGTGGCCATGCGAGGGCACTGGAGCTGTTCGTCGCCCTGGCCAGCACAGCTGGGAATGCTTCCATCCAGGCCGTTTCGCCCCAACTCATCCCAATCCAACGGGTCTCAACGGACACATATGGCTAGCTGGCAGTATGCATTTTCGGCGCGCGAGACAAGGCCACCGAGCAGAACAGCGGAGCAGACTTCCCTCGGGGATATCCTGCATTACTTCCTACCAGTGATTTGAATTTCCCAGCCTTTCCTCCATGGTATGTATAGCATAGCATGATCACAGCTGGCTCCTGACAAGCCGGGAAAACAAGTTCACGTTGATTAGAGTTAATATCTTAGAGCTAGATTCAATCACAATCAGACGTAGCATTCATTCTGCGTTTCACTGGAACGTAAGGCCAGAGCGAGAAGGTCGTAGTTAGGCTTAGATTCATAGAGAACTCCACAGCGGCTGCAGCCATGTCGCAAATACCCAAGACGATTCTAGTGCCGGTGGATCAGTCGGAGAACAGCGAGCGCGCCGTGCAGTACGCGCTCACGCGGGTGTGCCGCGCGGGCGTCGACACGCTGCATCTGCTGCACGTGCAGGACTCCACGCACCTCAGCGTCTCCATTGCAGGCGGTGAGTCACTCTCCGCGACACACGCCTCGGAATGTTACATTTTGAATGAAATTCGTGGAAGATTCCGTGTCGACCCGCGTATGCTGTCTCAGGTAAGGTCAGCAGAAATGTACCTTTCACGCTGTCGATCGTTTCGCTGGTTGTAAATCCGTTTTCGTCCTGCGAATCGCCTGTGGCGCGGCAGACATGGTGGTGCCGCCGGCGGTGGTGGACGAGATGTCGCGGCGCGCGTCGAGCGAGGCGTCCGTTCTCGTCCGCAAGTACCTCGCCGAGGCCGACGCCGCCAAGGTGCGTTGCGCCCACCCGCACGCCCGCCAAGGTTCGTTGCGCCCATCCGCACGCCGCCAAAGTGCGTTGCGCTGTTGTGTGGCATTCATCGGAATTCCTCTAGTCCATGCTTCCGTTTGCAAGATTCGTATTTAGCGTGATGGATACAGACGAACTTAGGTCCACATGCGCGGCCGGCTGATGCGCGCACGTGTGACCGGTTGTTGCGCGCATGTGCGGGGGTCGCGCAGGTGCCGGCGCAGGGGTACTACGCACTGGGGGACGCGCGCGAGGTGATTGTGGCGAGGGCCGCGGCGATCAAGGCGGACCTCATTGTCATGGGCACGCGCGGCATGGGCGCTATCTCGCGGTGAGTGGGGTAATGCGCGGAGGGAAGGGGGGAGGTAGCGGAGGCAAGGGGCACAGCATTTCAGCGTGTGTGCAAGGGGGCGCGGAAGGTAGCCCGGCAGGCGCGAAGCAGACGCGAGGTGAGGCAATGTGGCTTTTTCACCACCATGAAATCAACCTCACCATCCCTCCGCCCCCATATCCCCCTCACTCCCAAGCCTGCCCTTGCACTCCCACCACGTCCTCACACACCCCTCTGTCCACTCTCCTCTCACCTCTCTCTCCTATCTCCTCCCTCCTCTCTTTCGCCCCTCCCCCCCACACCTACCCCGCAGGGCGATGCTGGGCAGTGTGAGCGACTACGTGGTGAACCACGCCACGTGCGCCGTGCTCATAGTGCGCCCACCGCCCCCGCCCTCCGCGGACCAGCCACAGCAGCAGCAGGCGCTGCAGCAGGCGCCTCTGGACCACCCCTCCCAGCGCGTGCTGCTGCTCGCCGTTGACAACTCCGATGGCAGCCGACTCGCTCTCAGGTGAGCGCCAGGTGGGACTCAGGTGGGCTTCAGGTGGGCTTCAGGTGGGCCTCAGGTGGGCTTCAGGTGGGCCTCAGGTGGGCTTCAGGTGGGCTTCAGGTGGGCCTCAGATTTGTCCCAGGTGGGCCCCAGGTGGACCCCAGATGGGCCTTAAATGGACCCTGGGTGGAGCCCAGGTGGGCCTTAAATGGACCCTGGGTGGAGCCCAGGTGGGCCTTAATTGGACCCTGGGTGGAGCCCAGGTGGGCGTTAGTGCGTGAGTGGAGGGAGGGACGCATGTGGGGGTGCATGGGCTCTTCCTCGTGCCTGCCTGGCACGCGTGTCTCCCTCGCGTACTCTCAATGTCGCTCGCTCACCCACCCTCTCTCATCTCAGCCAACCATTTCACTCCATCTCTCCCCCCCCTACACCTCTCCCTCGTCTTTCTCTCCCCCCTCCCCTCTCTTATCCGTGGTTCACCAGGTATGCATTGGAGGAGTTCTGTCGGGCGGACGACATACTCATTCTGCTCGCCGTGCTGCCCACACCCCCATGGGCCGCCTATGGCGAATACTACAACCAAGGTCAGCCGCCCACGCCTACACTCGCCTCTTTGCCGCCCAGGAACGCCTCATTCTCATCCTCCCCTTATCCCCATACCAGCCTACGAGCGCTCATACACATCTCCCTTGCAGCATCACGCATGTCATCCCCTATCACCACCCTCATGCTTTTGCATCCACCCCATCTTTTGTCCACCTCGTGTTTCTCACCACACCCACTGTGCATGCATGTTACACGCCATGGAGCAGAGATGATAGAGCGGCTGGAGCGGGCGGAGCTGCAGGAGGCAGATGCGATGCTGGAGGAGTTTGCCGAGCAAGTGCGCGCCATGCACATCGTGTGCAAAAAGGTGGGTTGGGGGGTCTATACGGCTTCAAGCCTTCTGCTTCAGTTCGCGCAAGATTTGTACCTTTCTCAGCCGTTCTATCTGCAAAGGCTCAAAACTGTCATGTGGCAATCCTCTGTGTGTGCGTGCATGTGTACTCGGCTTGTGTGCATGCGTGATGCCATGGGCGCGGCAATGTGGCTCTCAATGCGTGGTGTGTGCATGCGTGTGCAACAGGAGGTGATACGAGGGGACGTGCGGGAGACCATCTGCTACTCCGCTGAGCAGTTCGGGGCCGATGTGCTGCTCATGGGCTGCAGAGGACTGTCAGGGCTCAAAAAGTATTTGCCTGTGCTTTCAACCTTCTCGTGCTCTCTTTGTTCTGCAGCCTTGGTTCTTCACGATCACCAGCAGTCTTCTCATGCAAGTGCCATTTTAGTCCAAGTGCCATACTCTCAGTGTGTCCTCTGCTTGCTTCCGGAGCCCACGTTTCTTCAATTGCATGTCGACATGTTTTCCCGCCTTTCTTCCTTTTGGTTCATAGCCTGCTGTTCGCTGCTGTTCTCCCTGTGCCTGTGCTGCGCAGAATGCTTCTTGGAAGTGTCAGCGACTACTGTGCTCACCATGCGGTAGGAGACCCACCCTTGCCTGCACTGCTGCTTTTTTTTTTTTAGTGTTTCCCTCTTGCCCCCCTGCAATGTGTCAGATTCATGCCTTTTCTACAACTCAACATAACTGAACAGTTCTGATGCCATTGACATGTCAATAGTGTGGTTGGCTTTCTCATGCTGGTGTCTGTTTATATTTTCCCTTTCCCCTACGTTTTGCCTGGTCATGCTGATACCCTTACTGCGATGACAGAATGTGCCCATGCTGATAGTGAAACCACAGGAGCACTCCACTGTGGACCTTCTCTCCCCTCGAGTTGTACCAGTTGGCCATTCAGCAGAGGAATCATAAGAGTTGCCCAAAGATATTGGTGAAACATAGACACAACAATACACATATGTGTGAGAATGTTTTTCGAAATGGAATAATCCCACTAGCTGGGAATATAAAGAGGTGATAGAGCTCTTGTACCGGTAATGTGAGCACCTTGAATTCTTTCAATATTCACAAAACCGAAAATTTACTTGTTGCAAAGCCTTGTAAAAACAGAAACTACACTGTTTCGGAGGATTCGAGTTCCGGCTGAGGAGGATCTGAATCTCCAGACACGCGAGAGATTTGTGGATGCCTCCCGACGTGTGCCGTGGCAACGCCTCTGATTGGCATGACTGTCTGCCCTCTTCCTCTCTTCGTGGAACGTTGCTGACATGGACAGCCTCGAGCTTTGCTTTCCCCCACCAGCACCCAGAGATTCTCCCGAATTTCTGGTGGGCCACGCGTCATAGCAATTCCGCTGGCGTCAACGGGCTTCCATGCCAAACACAAGCCGAGTTACCATTTGCCGTCGTCAACGCCTTCGAGAACAGACGAAGCTCAAATTTCGCAACGCCTGACGAACCCCCTTTCCAGCTTGCAGCTTGTTACCCCCCCTCTCCATCCACTTCCGTCCACCCCCCAGCTCCTGCTGTCGCCCTACAGCAACTACTACAACTTCCATTGTTCTTGTTCTTACGTAGTTAGTTTCAGAATCACCACCACCATCACCAGCTTCTAGGATTCTGCTGCTCGCCTCGCCGTAACGCCGGCGCTATCGTCCGTCGCCTCCGACCCGATCAAACCGTTCGCCATTTCGAACCAGATCCCACTTCATTGGCTCTCATCCTGAGATCCTCCATTCATCCGTTCATTCGCCGTCACCCCATTCAACTGCTAACACCGATTTGCCATCATGAGCGGAAGGCGAGCAGTTACCACCCTTCTTCGCGCTGCAGCGCAGGCGCGTCGGTATTCGTCGTCGTCGTCATCCGTGGCGACAGCGCATCAGCCGGCGGTGTTCGTGGATAAGACGACACGTGTGTTGTGTCAAGGCATCACCGGAAAGAACGGCACGTTCCATACGGAGCAGGCTATCGAGTACGGCACCAACATGGTACGCTCGATCGTGCGGTTGCAGCGCGAAACAGTAGATTTGTGCATGCGGTTTCATTGCGGTCAGAACGATTTTCGTGCATGAATATGCGGGCGCAATGAAAGACGAAGCAGGAATGCCGTTTTTTCGCCCGTAGCTTCTAATCTCGAGAGTCTGGAGCTCCTAGTCATCGACATCCTCGGCTAGGTGATGGTGGACTGACCACGAGAGTAAGAGAGTGAACATACCGCCTTTCGTTAGCATTTACGGCGGTCGGTCATGGGTCTTGAACGCGCTTCTTGCCATCGACCTTCAGCGCCTGGACTTGGAACGTCACGACCCACTTCGCGCGACATTGACGTCTCCACCCATTCTCTCGAGCCTTTATCATTCCATCGTTACTCGCTGTCGGCATCATGAAGCAGTGCACGGAGACATCCTTACGGACGCCTCGCGCACAGTGGAATCCTTTCTAGGAGACCTAGTAGCGTTACTGACTGGCTGAAAGCCCGCTCTTTCCGCACGTATTTGACTCCGCGCCAAGGCATCACCGATCCACTGCGACGCGCTTCGGTCACGGTCTTCTTGATGCCACTGATCCTCCCGTAGTTGCTCTCAGGAGACGTCTTTCCCGATGTTCCCATCCACCAGCGTCCCTCTTTAGCATACTCCGTACAGTTGCACCTCTCCCTCGCCTCACCCCTCCCTCTTTGGCTAACCTCCCGTATCTGCTTCCCCTTGTGCCCATCCCTTCTCATCCCTCCACATCCCTCCCTCATCCCTTCCTATCCCTGCTACGTGGCATGCGACCAGGTGGGCGGCGTAGTCCCGAAGAAGGGCGGAACGGAGCACCTGGGGCTGCCAGTCTTCAACACCGTCGAGGAGGCCAAGAAGGCCACCGGCGCTAACGTCTTGAATGCACCTCTCCCTTGTTGCCTGTACACACGCAGGTGGGCGGCGTAGTCCCGAAGAAGGGCGGGTCGGAGCACCTGGGGCTGCCCATTTTCAACACCGTCGAGGAGGCCAAGAAGGCCACCGGCGCGAACGCGTCCGTGATCTACGTGCCGCCGCCATTCGCGGCGGCGGCGATCATGGAGGCGATGGAGGCGGAGCTGGACCTCGTCGTGTGCATCACCGAGGGCATCCCGCAGCACGACATGGTGAGCGCCGTGACGCGCGGGGAATAGAATGGCAGGATGGCAGAATGACGACATGATGGCATGACGGCATGATGGCATGATGACACCTTGGTCATGGGCCTGGAAAGCTTGGATGCGCGTTGTGCGTTGCTGCTACACCACGACCAACTTCCCCTCTTTACGCCTGCTCCTCCCTCCAATCGCATTGCGTCACGTGTCACTGGCAGGTGCGCGTGAAAGCGGCGCTGATGCAGCAGAGCAAGACGCGGCTGATCGGCCCCAACTGCCCTGGCATCATCAAGCCGGGCGAGGCTAAGCTGGGCATCATGCCCGGCTACATCCACAAACCAGGACGCATTGGGATTGTCTCGCGCTCCGGCACCCTCACCTACGAGGCCGTGAGTGCCACCCGCCTGCGCTTTCCCTCCCTGCTGCCTTGCCCCCCGTCCCCGCCCTTGACTTGGAACCCGCTTCATGCCTGCTTCATGCTTCGAGTTTCTCAACCGCCGTCGTTGTCATTCCCTTGTTGGAAGTGCTGGGTTTCACTCGCAGCCCTGTTTCCCGTCTCTCCCTGCTCTTCGTCCCTCTCCCCCCCCACACGGTGACACGCGTCACGGCGCATGACTGGAGGAGCAGGTGTACCAGACGACGCAGGTGGGGCTGGGGCAGTCGACGTGCGTGGGCATGGGCGGCGATCCATTCAACGGCACCAACTTCGTCGACTGCCTTGACAAGTTCATCAAGGACCCGCAGACTGAAGGTACGCCACCCCACCCATGCCTTGAGGTGCATTTTAAGGTGTGTTTTGTGTCGACTCAACACACACCTCTTCAACGGCACCAGCTCCGTCGACTGCCTCGACAATTTCATCAAAGACCCCCAGACCGAAGCTCACGCCGCCCGCCGTAACCGTGCCTTGGGGTGCACTGCCGTGGGGGAGGAGGGGTGGAGAGTTTAGCGAGATTGTTATGGTGCTTAGCTGCCCACCCTTGTTGTCACCCTTCATGCTCTCCCTCCCATGTCTTCCCGCCACGTCATCCCCATAACGTCCCTTGAGGGACTTCATGTTCCTCGAGGTCGTCCCTCTGTCCCTCTGTGCCCTCACGCCAGCTATCTCCGTGCTTCCCATGCGCCACTGCCCCTGTGGTTCCCTGTGACTCCCTGTGACTGTCCCTTTGACTGCCCCCGTGACTACCCCCCCCACAGGCATCATTCTGATCGGTGAGATCGGAGGCAGTGCGGAGGAGGACGCGGCAGAGTTCATCAGGGCGAGTGGCACCACCAAGCCCGTCGTCTCCTTCATCGCCGGCCTCACTGCCCCGCCCGGCCGCCGCATGGGGCATGCCGGAGGTACGCAGGGGGCATGCAGGAGATGTGCATGGGGCACACGGGAGGTATGCCGAGGCCATGGAGGGCATGTGCATGGGGCATGCGGGAGGTGTGCTGGGGGCTTGCCTGTACGAATGGGCATTGGATTGGATGACTGCTACCTCCCTGTCTTGACCTGCTTCTACTAATTCCATCTGCCCAATTTCATCTCTCCTGGTCCTGCATTCCACCTGCTCCCCGCTCTCCGCACTGCAGCGATCATCAGCGGGGGCAAGGGCACGGCGCAGGACAAGATTAAGGCACTGGAGGGCGCGGGGGTGACGGTGGTGCGCTCGCCTGCTCAGATCGGCAACGCCATGTTCGCTGCCTTCAAGGAGCGTGGCCTCGTGTAGAGAGGCATGAGGAGGAGGGCGGACGAGAGGTTGTAAAGTGGATTTATGTTCTTGAAGCAGCAGCTTGTTGAACAGCAGCAGCAGCATTTCAAAATCCCGGCATTTGTCAAATATAGTATGTGCAGCTTTTTCTTAACACTCGAAACATAATAGCAGTAGTAGAGTGATGTGTAGCAGAAGTGACAAACTTGGGCTCACTCTCCCATGTTGGGAGTTTCGGTATGGTATGCTGTTGAGGGATTCGTTCTGCTGGGCTCTCGGGGTCAGGCCGTTGAGAGCATTAGTAGCTCGAATGAGAGCAGCAGAGCAGTATGATAGTCAAAGGGCCTATGAGAGGCTTTGGTTTGGACAAAACAAATAGTAGTAGAAGTGGCAAACTTGGTTGTTGGTGCTTTCTTGTGACCACCTTGTCAACTGTTTGTATCGGAACAAAAGATGGTGGGCATGGCCCGCATCGCATCGGGCATGGGAATTTCGAATTCGGCTCAGCGCAAGCTCACTGGCACCGGCGGGGAAACCAAAGCCTCCCACCTTGCCTGACAGATTTGCCCAGCTGATGGTGAACTTGTCGGTCGAGCGATTCCTCAACCACACGTCATGCTTGCGTAAGAGCTAGGACCACAAGGTTAAAATTGTCCGTCAGATGCGTCGAGAGTATTCGGATAAACACCACGTGTATCACCCACATCCAGCAGGCGGGCTTCCGTGAGAATCATGTGGGACCTGTTTGGGAACGCGAAAGAAACACATTTAAAGCCCGCATCCCAAATTGCGGACCGCGAGGGTCAAGTTTTAAAAACTTGACGAAGTTGAGTGTCCAAGCTTTTGAAAGTCACGCACTTGCAATTTGGGACTTTCGAAGACAGATTCACTCACTAGGTGGAAAACCGAGGGTTGGCTAGGTCTCGCGAAAAAAACGAACCTATACGAAATTGGAAACTCTCGCCAAAGCCCACACCAGAAAAACTCCCTTCGGACAACTTTTAAAAGCATGAACAATTTGGGTGTAAAACTATCAATCGGGGTGGGGTATGGGGATGTTCAGGTTGAAGGGATCAAACCAATTTCATCAATCTGCCGTAAAAACAGTGGAAACGAGTGCTTAGGAGATTTCCCGCGCAAACGATTCAAACCAGTGGAAGCTTCAGGTTGGAATTCACTCCATCCACCCCACAACAGAACCAGCTCGCAGAAGTTCGAAAGCCTCTAAAGTTACGCGCATGATTCTCGTTTACCAAGGAAACTGATGCTGATTGGGCCTGGCGCACAGCTGCGTTCGCGAGCGCCAAACTGGTTCTGAATGCGCAGATCCTGTCAGCGCAAGCGCAAAGCAGACACCCTGCGCGTCGCGGAAACCTTTCCCGCGCTGTGTCTGCCTGGAAGCCGCTATATTCCGTTCATGCGGCAAGGCCTGTAACTTCGCAAGCATGTTCGCTACATGAATCTGACCACTGTAAGTGATGACGAAACGAAACTCCGCTTCGCCTGCCGTAGATTGCTCCTTCAACAAACGGCAAGGGTCGCTCCCGACGAGGGTGGCGGGCGGAGGGCGAGCAGCGGAAGAAAGTTTTTTGGGTAACAAAGTGTCCGTGTGAAGCGAGGCTCTCCCGTTGCGACGAGCTCCATCCATTCGCAAGGGCCAACCTCTCTCACACCTCACGAGCGACTATCCCACATTCCCCAGGCCCTTCCATTCACCTCTCCCGCATCATCCTTCCAAGTACACCACAAGGCCGCCATGGCTGTCATGAGAATACAGTATACGTAGACTCGGTATGGCTCTCGTAGACATCCTTAACTCGCCATGGACTCCGTAAAATTTTCTACTTTCCTCAATCTCGCTCGTTACAGAAACGGAAATTGGTCGGGTTTAGTATCAAGATCAGTCGCAGATACTGAGTGTGCTGTTTCAAGGTGGTTTATATCGACGCCACCCTCTGAAGTTCCCTTGTTTAGTTCCCTCGTCTGGAAGCTTATACATCAAGTTTAGGATGAAAGGTCGTCTTCTTTCTCCGGATAGTTCACCACCGCTTAGCCGACGGAATCTTCACCTTCTTGTGACGCTCGTCTGCTTTTGTTGGAAGTTCCGCCCGTCCGCTTTCGTCCGCTCGTCTAGGAAGCGTTCCAACTCTCTCTGTCGAGCAGATATTATCAGAGATAGCGAAACGGACGGCTTTCTCGACGGATTTGACGATGCTTGACGGTCTTAAAGGTTTCTGAAAGCTCAAAGTAGTAAGACTCATCCCCACCTTTCGAGTCGCCGGAGAAAACATTTCAGATCCTACTTTTACCTGGGAGCTCCTATTAGCAGTCGAAGCGGTCTTGGGAGGAGTGCGCGCGTTTCCGTTTCATCCTCCTCAGCAACAGCGTTTCATGTCAGCTACGACGGCTAGTTGCGACAGCCTGTCGCGGAGCGACAAGCGGCGACAGTCGAGAGATTCGAGCTGCGAGCGGAAGGCGACACGGAAACGACGAACGGACCGGAGATGAAAGAAAAAACGGAGCGAAGCGGGGGAAACGGCGAGCATCGAGCGGTAAAGTGACGAGCGGCAACGTTGAAAGCAGGGAGAGGAAAGCGGGAGCTGAATGCGCCGAGCTAACGGCGAGAAGCGAACGGCGATTACCGAGCATCGAGCGGAGGCGATGTGCGACGGAAATCGAGCGCCTAGCATCGAGGGATTGCAAGCAACGACGGACAAAGCGGAAACGACGAGCGACGCCGAGGGATGAGCGGTGACTGTTGACGAACGCGGCCATTGTTGAACGCCGAGCGACGAACTTCGACTTCTGAACGGCGACGAACGACTATTGTGAACGCCGAGCGACGATTGGCGACGATCGGAGAGGAACGGCGACTGCTGAACTGCAGGCGACGAACGACGATCGCCGAGCGTTGAACTGCAGGCGACGAACCGCGAGAGTTGTACGCCGAGCAACAAACGGCGACTGTTGAACGCTGAACAACGATACGCGAACGACTGACTGCAAGTGACGAATGACTGCTGAAACGCCGTGTGACGAACGACTGCTGAAACGCCGTGTGACGAACGACTGCTGAAACGCCGTGTGACGGATCGGCGACGAGGCGAGCAACGCTGCGGTTGACTGTGACGGCTGACGGCGAGCAGAAACTCGACGAGCGGAATCGGCGAGCGGGAAGGCAAGACGAGCGGAATCGGCGAGCGGGAAGGCAAGACGAGCGGAATCGGCGAGCGGGAAGGCAAGACGAGCGGAATCGGCGAGACGCGACGAGCGGAATCGGCGCGACGCGACGAACGGAATCGGCGAGACTCGACGAGCGGAATCGGCGAGACTCGACGAGCGGAATCGGCGCGACGCGACGAGCAGAATCGGCGAGACTTGAGGAGCGGAATCGGCGCGACGCCACGAACGGAATCGGCGAGACTCAACGAGCGGAATCGGCGAGACTCGACGAGCGGAATCGGCGCACGCATGGCGAACGGAACGACGAGCTACGAACGCGGAGCAGCTACTAAACCCCGCTAAGGTAGCAGTGCATTCATGCCATGGGTTGTGTGCTATTCTTTCCGTTGTGTTGTGCTCACTCTCTTCTCTCTTGTTCGCCGCGAGTTGCTTTCTTGATTTCGCCCGCTCTTGCTCTCTACCACGCTCTCTGCCCTCTTGCTGTCTGCCACTTGTTCTTGCTCTCACTGCCACTCTGTCTTGTGCTCTCTCTGCCTCTCTGCCTTGTTGCTCCTCGTGCAGAGCCAGCAGAGGGCGGCAGTGGGATGACGCACGGCTGCCCGCCCTGCTGACCACTGCTCGCCTCTCAGGGAGCAGGGGAGGCAAGGGGAGCGCGCCCTGCTGACCACTGCTCGCCGCGCAAGGGGAGCGCGCGCGCCTGCAGGGGAGCGCAAGGGGAGCGCGCCTGCAGGGGAGCACGCCTGCATGCTCATTCGACCCTCTTCAATCCGGCTAAGATATCCCACTGAATTCGCACTGTGTTGTGCACGCACCACTCACTTGCTCGCACTCGTGCCTCCACTGCTTGCTTGCGCTCGCTCTCTCCTTCTCCTCTCGCCGCTCTCACGGGCGGCACCAAGGGACCCTCCCCAGGTGTGTGACGCAGGCGACTGCCAGCGTAAGTGGTAACGTCAGGTGTGGTAAGGTACGGTACTGTCCTTGGTGCCCGCCCTGCAGCTGCCACCGCCGCCGCCGCTGCCACCACCACTCACGCCACTCACGCACCCTCACTGCTTGCGTTCTTCGTTTTTCCTTGCTCGCATGCTTTCCGTTTTCCGTTCTGTCACTTGCTAACGCCATGCTAATCGCCTTCCCTCTCACCTCCCTTCTCTGCTCCGTGCACTTGTTCCCCTCTTCTCCTCTCCTCCTGCCAGCTTCCCTCTGCCTACACCCCTCTGCCAGCACACCTACAGGCCGGCAGCAGCAGAAGGCATGGAGGAGCAGTGGGCGCAGCGTGGCGAGCGGGAGAGGCGAGTGGTGGGATGACGCACGGCCTGGGCTGGCCCTGCTGACCACTGCCCTCGCCCAACCTCCCGGCAGCACCAGCGCGACCGACCGTGGCGTCTCTGAGTGGCGCTGCGGCAGCAGGGAGAGTGTGGCGGCTGACCACTGCCCTCGCCCAACCTGCCCTCGGCCAAGGCAGCATCGAATGAAGAATCGAGTAAGTAGCAGGAGCAATGCCGTCCCGTTTTTCCCCCTCGCACTCTTTACATTTCACTCTGTCACTTTGCTCTCTCCATTTGTAACCTCCACTCTGACTGACCTTCCCTGTGCGATTGCAACTTTCTGGTCGCTGGGCAGAATATGTTAAGGCGTCAATGGGATTGCGTGTCTGCAGCGACAGGAGCAGGAGGAGAGCCGTGGGTGAGTGATGCTGCGGCAGCCGGGGATGTGGCACCAGCGGGAGAGTGACGGCTTGCAGAGAGCCACGCCATGCTTGGGCCACCTGGTGAGTTGCCCTCCACTGCTCTTCATCTTCTCTACCAAGCTTGCCTCGTCCTTGTCTCGTCTCTGCAGTGTTTCATTATCTTCTGATCTTCTTCCTTCGTTCCTCTTCCCATTGTCTCCCCGCCCTCTTTTGCCTCGGCAGGATGCAAGGAGGCAAGGAGGCAAGGAGGCAAAGAGGCAAGGAGGCAAGGAGGCAAGGAGGCAAGGAGAGAGGCAAGGAGGAGGCAAGGAGGAGGCAAGGAGGCAAGGAGGCAAGGAGGAGGCAAGGAGGAGACAAGGAGGCAAGGAGGCAAGGAGGAGGCAAGGAGGAGGAAAGGAGGCAAGGAGGCAAGGAGGAGGCAAGGAGGAGACAAGGAGGCAAGGAGGCAAGGAGGAGGCAAGGAGGAGGCAAGGAGGAGGCAAGGAGGCAAGGAGGCAAGGAGGAGGCAAGAAGGAGGCAAGGAGGCAAGGAGGAGGCAAGGAGGCAAGAGGTGGTTTCTTGGGCTGCTGAGAGCACTGCCGTGTGTCGTGACGCCCTGCTATGGCAAGGAGCAAGGAGGCTGAGGCACGACAAGGAGAAGCAGACGGCAGAGAGGAGGCTGCTGCACCTGGGGACGGCAGAGAGGAGGCTGCTGCACCTGGGGACGGCAGAGAGGAGGCTGCTGCACCCGTGGACGGCAGAGAGGAGGCTGCTGCACCTGGGGACGGCAGAGAGGAGGCTGCTGCACCTGGGGACGGCAGAGAGGAGGCTGCTGCACCTGGGGACGGCAGAGAGGAGGCTGCTGCATCCGTGGACGGCAGAGAGGAGGCTGCTACACCTGTGGACGGCAGAGAGGAGGCTGCTGCACCCGTGGACGGCAGAGAGGAGGCTGCTGCACCCGCGGACGGCAGAGAGGAGGCTGCTGCACCCGTGGACGGCAGAGAGGAGGCTGCTGCACCCGCGGACGGCAGAGAGGAGGCTGCTGCACCCGCGGACGGCAGAGAGGAGGCTGCTGCACCTGTGGACGGCAGAGGGGAGGCTGCTGCACCCGTGGACGGCAGAGAGGAGGCTGCTGCACCTGGGGACGGCAGAGAGGAGGCTGCTGCACCTGGGGACGGCAGAGAGGAGGCTGCTGCACCTGTGGACGGCAGAGAGGAGGCTGCTGCACCCGTGGACGGCAGAGAGGAGGCTGCTGCACCCGTGGACGGCAGAGAGGAGGCTGCTGCACCCGTGGACGGCAGAGAGGAGGCTGCTGCACCCGCGGACGGCAGAGAGGAGGCTGCTGCACCCGCGGACGGCAGAGAGGAGGCTGCTGCACCTGTGGACGGCAGAGGGGAGGCTGCTGCACCTGGGGACGGCAGAGAGGAGGCTGCTGCACCTGGGGACGGCAGAGAGGAGGCTGCTGCACCTGGGGACGGCAGAGAGGAGGCTGCTGCACCTGTGGACGGCAGAGAGGAGGCTGCTGCACCTGTGGACGGCAGAGAGGAGGCTGCTGCACCTGTGGACGGCAGAGAGGAGGCTGCTGCACCTGTGGACGGCAGAGAGGAGGCTGCTGCACCTGGGGACGGCAGAGAGGAGGCTGCTGCACCTCTGGGTGGCTTCCCGGCTCTCCCAAACTCGTGGGTGCCTTTCCTACCTTGCCAAACTTGCCTCACTCTCGTCTTGTTGACTTGTCTGTCCGCCTTCACCCCTTCTGCCCTTACCCTTGCTGCCTTTGCCGTTGCTGCCTTCACCACAAGTGCTTGACCGTTACACTCACACCTCATCCCACCCGTCCCAGCCATCTGCTTCCACAGGCTCTTGTGCTCGTGAGTGCTCGTCAGGAAGCGCTCTGGCGGAGTGTGCCTGCCCTCCCACACCAGTAGCAGCAAGGCGGAGTGTGCCTGCCCTCCCACACCAGTAGCAGCAAGGCGGAGTGTGCCTGCCCTCCCACACCAGTAGCAGCAAGGCGGAGTGTGCCTGCCCTCCCACACCAGTAGCAGCAAGGCGGAGTGTGCCTGCCCTCCCACACCAGTAGCAGCAAGGCGGAGTGTGCCTGCCCTCCCACACCAGTAGCAGCAAGGCGGAGTGTGCCTGCCCTCCCACACCAGTAGCAGCAAGGCGGAGTGTGCCTGCCCTCCCACACCAGTAGCAGCAAGGCGGAGTGTGCCTGCCCTCCCACACCAGTAGCAGCAAGGCGGAGTGTGCCTGCCCTCCCACACCAGTAGCAGCAAGGCGGAGTGTGCCTGCCCTCCCACACCAGTAGCAGCAAGGCGGAGTGTGCCTGCCCTCCCACACCAGTAGCAGCAAGGCGGAGTGTGCCTGCCCTCCCACACCAGTAGCAGCAAGGCGGAGTGTGCCTGCCCTCCCACACCAGTAGCAGCAAGGCGGAGTGTGCCTGCCCTCCCACACCAGTAGCAGCAAGGCGGAGTGTGCCTGCCCTCCCACACCAGTAGCAGCAAGGCGGAGTGTGCCTGCCCTCCCACACCAGTAGCAGCAAGGCGGAGTGTGCCTGCCCTCCCACACCAGTAGCAGCAAGGCGGAGTGTGCCTGCCCTCCCACACCAGTAGCAGCAAGGCGGAGTGTGCCTGCCCTCCCACACCAGTAGCAGCAAGGCGGAGTGTGCCTGCCCTCCCACACCAGTAGCAGCAAGGCGGAGTGTGCCTGCCCTCCCACACCAGTAGCAGCAAGGCGGAGTGTGCCTGCCCTCCCACACCAGTAGCAGCAAGGCGGAGTGTGCCTGCCCTCCCACACCAGTAGCAGCAAGGCGGAGTGTGCCTGCCCTCCCACACCAGTAGCAGCAAGGCGGAGTGTGCCTGCCCTCCCACACCAGTAGCAGCAAGGCGGAGTGTGCCTGCCCTCCCACACCAGTAGCAGCAAGGCGGAGTGTGCCTGCCCTCCCACACCAGTAGCAGCAAGGCGGAGTGTGCCTGCCCTCCCACACCAGTAGCAGCAAGGCGGAGTGTGCCTGCCCTCCCACACCAGTAGCAGCAAGGCGGAGTGTGCCTGCCCTCCCACACCAGTAGCAGCAAGGCGGAGTGTGCCTGCCCTCCCACACCAGTAGCAGCAAGGCGGAGTGTGCCTGCCCTCCCACACCAGTAGCAGCAAGGCGGAGTGTGCCTGCCCTCCCACACCAGTAGCAGCAAGGCGGAGTGTGCCTGCCCTCCCACACCAGTAGCAGCAAGGCGGAGTGTGCCTGCCCTCCCACACCAGTAGCAGCAAGGCGGAGTGTGCCTGCCCTCCCACACCAGTAGCAGCAAGGCGGAGTGTGCCTGCCCTCCCACACCAGTAGCAGCAAGGCGGAGTGTGCCTGCCCTCCCACACCAGTAGCAGCAAGGCGGAGTGTGCCTGCCCTCCCACACCAGTAGCAGCAAGGCGGAGTGTGCCTGCCCTCCCACACCAGTAGCAGCAAGGCGGAGTGTGCCTGCCCTCCCACACCAGTAGCAGCAAGGCGGAGTGTGCCTGCCCTCCCACACCAGTAGCAGCAAGGCGGAGTGTGCCTGCCCTCCCACACCAGTAGCAGCAAGGCGGAGTGTGCCTGCCCTCCCACACCAGTAGCAGCAAGGCGGAGTGTGCCTGCCCTCCCACACCAGTAGCAGCAAGGCGGAGTGTGCCTGCCCTCCCACACCAGTAGCAGCAAGGCGGAGTGTGCCTGCCCTCCCACACCAGTAGCAGCAAGGCGGAGTGTGCCTGCCCTCCCACACCAGTAGCAGCAAGGCGGAGTGTGCCTGCCCTCCCACACCAGTAGCAGCAAGGCGGAGTGTGCCTGCCCTCCCACACCAGTAGCAGCAAGGCGGAGTGTGCCTGCCCTCCCACACCAGTAGCAGCAAGGCGGAGTGTGCCTGCCCTCCCACACCAGTAGCAGCAAGGCGGAGTGTGCCTGCCCTCCCACACCAGTAGCAGCAAGGCGGAGTGTGCCTGCCCTCCCACACCAGTAGCAGCAAGGCGGAGTGTGCCTGCCCTCCCACACCAGTAGCAGCAAGGCGGAGTGTGCCTGCCCTCCCACACCAGTAGCAGCAAGGCGGAGTGTGCCTGCCCTCCCACACCAGTAGCAGCAAGGCGGAGTGTGCCTGCCCTCCCACACCAGTAGCAGCAAGGCGGAGTGTGCCTGCCCTCCCACACCAGTAGCAGCAAGGCGGAGTGTGCCTGCCCTCCCACACCAGTAGCAGCAAGGCGGAGTGTGCCTGCCCTCCCACACCAGTAGCAGCAAGGCGGAGTGTGCCTGCCCTCCCACACCAGTAGCAGCAAGGCGGAGTGTGCCTGCCCTCCCACACCAGTAGCAGCAAGGCGGAGTGTGCCTGCCCTCCCACACCAGTAGCAGCAAGGCGGAGTGTGCCTGCCCTCCCACACCAGTAGCAGCAAGGCGGAGTGTGCCTGCCCTCCCACACCAGTAGCAGCAAGGCGGAGTGTGCCTGCCCTCCCACACCAGTAGCAGCAAGGCGGAGTGTGCCTGCCCTCCCACACCAGTAGCAGCAAGGCGGAGTGTGCCTGCCCTCCCACACCAGTAGCAGCAAGGCGGAGTGTGCCTGCCCTCCCACACCAGTAGCAGCAAGGCGGAGTGTGCCTGCCCTCCCACACCAGTAGCAGCAAGGCGGAGTGTGCCTGCCCTCCCACACCAGTAGCAGCAAGGCGGAGTGTGCCTGCCCTCCCACACCAGTAGCTGCAAGGCGGAGTGTGCCTGCCCTCCCACACCAGTAGCAGCAAGGCGGAGTGTGCCTGCCCTCCCACACCAGTAGCTGCAAGGCGGAGTGTGCCTGCCCTCCCACACCAGTAGCAGCAAGGCGGAGTGTGCCTGCCCTCCCACACCAGTAGCGGCAAGGCGGAGTGTGCCTGCCCTCCCACACCAGTAGCGGCAAGGCGGAGTGTGCCTGCCCTCCCACACCAGTAGCGGCAAGGCGGAGTGTGCCTGCCCTCCCACACCAGTAGCAGCAAGGCGGAGTGTGCCTGCCCTCCCACACCAGTAGCAGCAAGGCGGAGTGTGCCTGCCCTCCCACACCAGTAGCAGCAAGGCGGAGTGTGCCTGCCCTCCCACACCAGTAGCAGCAAGGCGGAGTGTGCCTGCCCTCCCACACCAGTAGCAGCAAGGCGGAGTGTGCCTGCCCTCCCACACCAGTAGCAGCAAGGCGGAGTGTGCCTGCCCTCCCACACCAGTAGCAGCAAGGCGGAGTGTGCCTGCCCTCCCACACCAGTAGCAGCAAGGCGGAGTGTGCCTGCCCTCCCACACCAGTAGCAGCAAGGCGGAGTGTGCCTGCCCTCCCACACCAGTAGCAGCAAGGCGGAGTGTGCCTGCCCTCCCACACCAGTAGCAGCAAGGCGGAGTGTGCCTGCCCTCCCACACCAGTAGCAGCAAGGCGGAGTGTGCCTGCCCTCCCACACCAGTAGCAGCAAGGCGGAGTGTGCCTGCCCTCCCACACCAGTAGCAGCAAGGCGGAGTGTGCCTGCCCTCCCACACCAGTAGCAGCAAGGCGGAGTGTGCCTGCCCTCCCACACCAGTAGCAGCAAGGCGGAGTGTGCCTGCCCTCCCACACCAGTAGCAGCAAGGCGGAGTGTGCCTGCCCTCCCACACCAGTAGCAGCAAGGCGGAGTGTGCCTGCCCTCCCACACCAGTAGCAGCAAGGCGGAGTGTGCCTGCCCTCCCACACCAGTAGCAGCAAGGCGGAGTGTGCCTGCCCTCCCACACCAGTAGCAGCAAGGCGGAGTGTGCCTGCCCTCCCACACCAGTAGCAGCAAGGCGGAGTGTGCCTGCCCTCCCACACCAGTAGCAGCAAGGCGGAGTGTGCCTGCCCTCCCACACCAGTAGCAGCAAGGCGGAGTGTGCCTGCCCTCCCACACCAGTAGCAGCAAGGCGGAGTGTGCCTGCCCTCCCACACCAGTAGCAGCAAGGCGGAGTGTGCCTGCCCTCCCACACCAGTAGCAGCAAGGCGGAGTGTGCCTGCCCTCCCACACCAGTAGCAGCAAGGCGGAGTGTGCCTGCCCTCCCACACCAGTAGCAGCAAGGCGGAGTGTGCCTGCCCTCCCACACCAGTAGCAGCAAGGCGGAGTGTGCCTGCCCTCCCACACCAGTAGCAGGCAAGGCGGAGTGTGCCTGCCCTCCCACACCAGTAGCGGCAAGGCGGAGTGTGCCTGCCCTCCCACACCAGTAGCAGCAAGGCGGAGTGTGCCTGCCCTCCCACACCAGTAGCAGCAAGGCGGAGTGTGCCTGCCCTCCCACACCAGTAGCAGCAAGGCGGAGTGTGCCTGCCCTCCCACACCAGTAGCAGCAAGGCGGAGTGTGCCTGCCCTCCCACACCAGTAGCAGCAAGGCGGAGTGTGCCTGCCCTCCCACACCAGTAGCAGCAAGGCGGAGTGTGCCTGCCCTCCCACACCAGTAGCAGCAAGGCGGAGTGTGCCTGCCCTCCCACACCAGTAGCAGCAAGGCGGAGTGTGCCTGCCCTCCCACACCAGTAGCAGCAAGGCGGAGTGTGCCTGCCCTCCCACACCAGTAGCAGCAAGGCGGAGTGTGCCTGCCCTCCCACACCAGTAGCAGCAAGGCGGAGTGTGCCTGCCCTCCCACACCAGTAGCAGCAAGGCGGAGTGTGCCTGCCCTCCCACACCAGTAGCAGCAAGGCGGAGTGTGCCTGCCCTCCCACACCAGTAGCAGCAAGGCGGAGTGTGCCTGCCCTCCCACACCAGTAGCAGCAAGGCGGAGTGTGCCTGCCCTCCCACACCAGTAGCAGCAAGGCGGAGTGTGCCTGCCCTCCCACACCAGTAGCAGCAAGGCGGAGTGTGCCTGCCCTCCCACACCAGTAGCAGCAAGGCGGAGTGTGCCTGCCCTCCCACACCAGTAGCAGCAAGGCGGAGTGTGCCTGCCCTCCCACACCAGTAGCAGCAAGGCGGAGTGTGCCTGCCCTCCCACACCAGTAGCAGCAAGGCGGAGTGTGCCTGCCCTCCCACACCAGTAGCAGCAAGGCGGAGTGTGCCTGCCCTCCCACACCAGTAGCAGCAAGGCGGAGTGTGCCTGCCCTCCCACACCAGTAGCAGCAAGGCGGAGTGTGCCTGCCCTCCCACACCAGTAGCAGCAAGGCGGAGTGTGCCTGCCCTCCCACACCAGTAGCAGCAAGGCGGAGTGTGCCTGCCCTCCCACACCAGTAGCTGCAAGGCGGAGTGTGCCTGCCCTCCCACACCAGTAGCAGCAAGGCGGAGTGTGCCTGCCCTCCCACACCAGTAGCGGCAAGGCGGAGTGTGCCTGCCCTCCCACACCAGTAGCGGCAAGGCGGAGTGTGCCTGCCCTCCCACACCAGTAGCGGCAAGGCGGAGTGTGCCTGCCCTCCCACACCAGTAGCAGCAAGGCGGAGTGTGCCTGCCCTCCCACACCAGTAGCAGCAAGGCGGAGTGTGCCTGCCCTCCCACACCAGTAGCGGCAAGGCGGAGTGTGCCTGCCCTCCCACACCAGTAGCAGCAAGGCGGAGTGTGCCTGCCCTCCCACACCAGTAGCAGCAAGGCGGAGTGTGCCTGCCCTCCCACACCAGTAGCAGCAAGGCGGAGTGTGCCTGCCCTCCCACACCAGTAGCAGCAAGGCGGAGTGTGCCTGCCCTCCCACACCAGTAGCAGCAAGGCGGAGTGTGCCTGCCCTCCCACACCAGTAGCAGCAAGGCGGAGTGTGCCTGCCCTCCCACACCAGTAGCAGCAAGGCGGAGTGTGCCTGCCCTCCCACACCAGTAGCAGCAAGGCGGAGTGTGCCTGCCCTCCCACACCAGTAGCAGCAAGGCGGAGTGTGCCTGCCCTCCCACACCAGTAGCAGCAAGGCGGAGTGTGCCTGCCCTCCCACACCAGTAGCAGCAAGGCGGAGTGTGCCTGCCCTCCCACACCAGTAGCAGCAAGGCGGAGTGTGCCTGCCCTCCCACACCAGTAGCAGCAAGGCGGAGTGTGCCTGCCCTCCCACACCAGTAGCAGCAAGGCGGAGTGTGCCTGCCCTCCCACACCAGTAGCAGCAAGGCGGAGTGTGCCTGCCCTCCCACACCAGTAGCAGCAAGGCGGAGTGTGCCTGCCCTCCCACACCAGTAGCAGCAAGGCGGAGTGTGCCTGCCCTCCCACACCAGTAGCAGCAAGGCGGAGTGTGCCTGCCCTCCCACACCAGTAGCAGCAAGGCGGAGTGTGCCTGCCCTCCCACACCAGTAGCAGCAAGGCGGAGTGTGCCTGCCCTCCCACACCAGTAGCAGCAAGGCGGAGTGTGCCTGCCCTCCCACACCAGTAGCAGCAAGGCGGAGTGTGCCTGCCCTCCCACACCAGTAGCAGCAAGGCGGAGTGTGCCTGCCCTCCCACACCAGTAGCAGCAAGGCGGAGTGTGCCTGCCCTCCCACACCAGTAGCAGCAAGGCGGAGTGTGCCTGCCCTCCCACACCAGTAGCAGCAAGGCGGAGTGTGCCTGCCCTCCCACACCAGTAGCAGCAAGGCGGAGTGTGCCTGCCCTCCCACACCAGTAGCAGCAAGGCGGAGTGTGCCTGCCCTCCCACACCAGTAGCAGCAAGGCGGAGTGTGCCTGCCCTCCCACACCAGTAGCAGCAAGGCGGAGTGTGCCTGCCCTCCCACACCAGTAGCAGCAAGGCGGAGTGTGCCTGCCCTCCCACACCAGTAGCAGCAAGGCGGAGTGTGCCTGCCCTCCCACACCAGTAGCAGCAAGGCGGAGTGTGCCTGCCCTCCCACACCAGTAGCAGCAAGGCGGAGTGTGCCTGCCCTCCCACACCAGTAGCAGCAAGGCGGAGTGTGCCTGCCCTCCCACACCAGTAGCAGCAAGGCGGAGTGTGCCTGCCCTCCCACACCAGTAGCAGCAAGGCGGAGTGTGCCTGCCCTCCCACACCAGTAGCAGCAAGGCGGAGTGTGCCTGCCCTCCCACACCAGTAGCAGCAAGGCGGAGTGTGCCTGCCCTCCCACACCAGTAGCAGCAAGGCGGAGTGTGCCTGCCCTCCCACACCAGTAGCAGCAAGGCGGAGTGTGCCTGCCCTCCCACACCAGTAGCAGCAAGGCGGAGTGTGCCTGCCCTCCCACACCAGTAGCAGCAAGGCGGAGTGTGCCTGCCCTCCCACACCAGTAGCAGCAAGGCGGAGTGTGCCTGCCCTCCCACACCAGTAGCAGCAAGGCGGAGTGTGCCTGCCCTCCCACACCAGTAGCAGCAAGGCGGAGTGTGCCTGCCCTCCCACACCAGTAGCAGCAAGGCGGAGTGTGCCTGCCCTCCCACACCAGTAGCAGCAAGGCGGAGTGTGCCTGCCCTCCCACACCAGTAGCAGCAAGGCGGAGTGTGCCTGCCCTCCCACACCAGTAGCAGCAAGGCGGAGTGTGCCTGCCCTCCCACACCAGTAGCAGCAAGGCGGAGTGTGCCTGCCCTCCCACACCAGTAGCAGCAAGGCGGAGTGTGCCTGCCCTCCCACACCAGTAGCAGCAAGGCGGAGTGTGCCTGCCCTCCCACACCAGTAGCAGCAAGGCGGAGTGTGCCTGCCCTCCCACACCAGTAGCAGCAAGGCGGAGTGTGCCTGCCCTCCCACACCAGTAGCAGCAAGGCGGAGTGTGCCTGCCCTCCCACACCAGTAGCAGCAAGGCGGAGTGTGCCTGCCCTCCCACACCAGTAGCAGCAAGGCGGAGTGTGCCTGCCCTCCCACACCAGTAGCAGCAAGGCGGAGTGTGCCTGCCCTCCCACACCAGTAGCAGCAAGGCGGAGTGTGCCTGCCCTCCCACACCAGTAGCAGCAAGGCGGAGTGTGCCTGCCCTCCCACACCAGTAGCAGCAAGGCGGAGTGTGCCTGCCCTCCCACACCAGTAGCAGCAAGGCGGAGTGTGCCTGCCCTCCCACACCAGTAGCAGCAAGGCGGAGTGTGCCTGCCCTCCCACACCAGTAGCAGCAAGGCGGAGTGTGCCTGCCCTCCCACACCAGTAGCAGCAAGGCGGAGTGTGCCTGCCCTCCCACACCAGTAGCAGCAAGGCGGAGTGTGCCTGCCCTCCCACACCAGTAGCAGCAAGGCGGAGTGTGCCTGCCCTCCCACACCAGTAGCAGCAAGGCGGAGTGTGCCTGCCCTCCCACACCAGTAGCAGCAAGGCGGAGTGTGCCTGCCCTCCCACACCAGTAGCAGCAAGGCGGAGTGTGCCTGCCCTCCCACACCAGTAGCAGCAAGGCGGAGTGTGCCTGCCCTCCCACACCAGTAGCAGCAAGGCGGAGTGTGCCTGCCCTCCCACACCAGTAGCAGCAAGGCGGAGTGTGCCTGCCCTCCCACACCAGTAGCAGCAAGGCGGAGTGTGCCTGCCCTCCCACACCAGTAGCAGCAAGGCGGAGTGTGCCTGCCCTCCCACACCAGTAGCAGCAAGGCGGAGTGTGCCTGCCCTCCCACACCAGTAGCAGCAAGGCGGAGTGTGCCTGCCCTCCCACACCAGTAGCAGCAAGGCGGAGTGTGCCTGCCCTCCCACACCAGTAGCAGCAAGGCGGAGTGTGCCTGCCCTCCCACACCAGTAGCAGCAAGGCGGAGTGTGCCTGCCCTCCCACACCAGTAGCAGCAAGGCGGAGTGTGCCTGCCCTCCCACACCAGTAGCAGCAAGGCGGAGTGTGCCTGCCCTCCCACACCAGTAGCAGCAAGGCGGAGTGTGCCTGCCCTCCCACACCAGTAGCAGCAAGGCGGAGTGTGCCTGCCCTCCCACACCAGTAGCAGCAAGGCGGAGTGTGCCTGCCCTCCCACACCAGTAGCAGCAAGGCGGAGTGTGCCTGCCCTCCCACACCAGTAGCAGCAAGGCGGAGTGTGCCTGCCCTCCCACACCAGTAGCAGCAAGGCGGAGTGTGCCTGCCCTCCCACACCAGTAGCAGCAAGGCGGAGTGTGCCTGCCCTCCCACACCAGTAGCAGCAAGGCGGAGTGTGCCTGCCCTCCCACACCAGTAGCAGCAAGGCGGAGTGTGCCTGCCCTCCCACACCAGTAGCAGCAAGGCGGAGTGTGCCTGCCCTCCCACACCAGTAGCAGCAAGGCGGAGTGTGCCTGCCCTCCCACACCAGTAGCAGCAAGGCGGAGTGTGCCTGCCCTCCCACACCAGTAGCAGCAAGGCGGAGTGTGCCTGCCCTCCCACACCAGTAGCAGCAAGGCGGAGTGTGCCTGCCCTCCCACACCAGTAGCAGCAAGGCGGAGTGTGCCTGCCCTCCCACACCAGTAGCAGCAAGGCGGAGTGTGCCTGCCCTCCCACACCAGTAGCAGCAAGGCGGAGTGTGCCTGCCCTCCCACACCAGTAGCAGCAAGGCGGAGTGTGCCTGCCCTCCCACACCAGTAGCAGCAAGGCGGAGTGTGCCTGCCCTCCCACACCAGTAGCAGCAAGGCGGAGTGTGCCTGCCCTCCCACACCAGTAGCAGCAAGGCGGAGTGTGCCTGCCCTCCCACACCAGTAGCAGCAAGGCGGAGTGTGCCTGCCCTCCCACACCAGTAGCAGCAAGGCGGAGTGTGCCTGCCCTCCCACACCAGTAGCAGCAAGGCGGAGTGTGCCTGCCCTCCCACACCAGTAGCAGCAAGGCGGAGTGTGCCTGCCCTCCCACACCAGTAGCAGCAAGGCGGAGTGTGCCTGCCCTCCCACACCAGTAGCAGCAAGGCGGAGTGTGCCTGCCCTCCCACACCAGTAGCAGCAAGGCGGAGTGTGCCTGCCCTCCCACACCAGTAGCAGCAAGGCGGAGTGTGCCTGCCCTCCCACACCAGTAGCAGCAAGGCGGAGTGTGCCTGCCCTCCCACACCAGTAGCAGCAAGGCGGAGTGTGCCTGCCCTCCCACACCAGTAGCAGCAAGGCGGAGTGTGCCTGCCCTCCCACACCAGTAGCAGCAAGGCGGAGTGTGCCTGCCCTCCCACACCAGTAGCAGCAAGGCGGAGTGTGCCTGCCCTCCCACACCAGTAGCAGCAAGGCGGAGTGTGCCTGCCCTCCCACACCAGTAGCAGCAAGGCGGAGTGTGCCTGCCCTCCCACACCAGTAGCAGCAAGGCGGAGTGTGCCTGCCCTCCCACACCAGTAGCAGCAAGGCGGAGTGTGCCTGCCCTCCCACACCAGTAGCAGCAAGGCGGAGTGTGCCTGCCCTCCCACACCAGTAGCAGCAAGGCGGAGTGTGCCTGCCCTCCCACACCAGTAGCAGCAAGGCGGAGTGTGCCTGCCCTCCCACACCAGTAGCAGCAAGGCGGAGTGTGCCTGCCCTCCCACACCAGTAGCAGCAAGGCGGAGTGTGCCTGCCCTCCCACACCAGTAGCAGCAAGGCGGAGTGTGCCTGCCCTCCCACACCAGTAGCAGCAAGGCGGAGTGTGCCTGCCCTCCCACACCAGTAGCAGCAAGGCGGAGTGTGCCTGCCCTCCCACACCAGTAGCAGCAAGGCGGAGTGTGCCTGCCCTCCCACACCAGTAGCAGCAAGGCGGAGTGTGCCTGCCCTCCCACACCAGTAGCAGCAAGGCGGAGTGTGCCTGCCCTCCCACACCAGTAGCAGCAAGGCGGAGTGTGCCTGCCCTCCCACACCAGTAGCAGCAAGGCGGAGTGTGCCTGCCCTCCCACACCAGTAGCAGCAAGGCGGAGTGTGCCTGCCCTCCCACACCAGTAGCAGCAAGGCGGAGTGTGCCTGCCCTCCCACACCAGTAGCAGCAAGGCGGAGTGTGCCTGCCCTCCCACACCAGTAGCAGCAAGGCGGAGTGTGCCTGCCCTCCCACACCAGTAGCAGCAAGGCGGAGTGTGCCTGCCCTCCCACACCAGTAGCAGCAAGGCGGAGTGTGCCTGCCCTCCCACACCAGTAGCAGCAAGGCGGAGTGTGCCTGCCCTCCCACACCAGTAGCAGCAAGGCGGAGTGTGCCTGCCCTCCCACACCAGTAGCAGCAAGGCGGAGTGTGCCTGCCCTCCCACACCAGTAGCAGCAAGGCGGAGTGTGCCTGCCCTCCCACACCAGTAGCAGCAAGGCGGAGTGTGCCTGCCCTCCCACACCAGTAGCAGCAAGGCGGAGTGTGCCTGCCCTCCCACACCAGTAGCAGCAAGGCGGAGTGTGCCTGCCCTCCCACACCAGTAGCAGCAAGGCGGAGTGTGCCTGCCCTCCCACACCAGTAGCAGCAAGGCGGAGTGTGCCTGCCCTCCCACACCAGTAGCAGCAAGGCGGAGTGTGCCTGCCCTCCCACACCAGTAGCAGCAAGGCGGAGTGTGCCTGCCCTCCCACACCAGTAGCAGCAAGGCGGAGTGTGCCTGCCCTCCCACACCAGTAGCAGCAAGGCGGAGTGTGCCTGCCCTCCCACACCAGTAGCAGCAAGGCGGAGTGTGCCTGCCCTCCCACACCAGTAGCAGCAAGGCGGAGTGTGCCTGCCCTCCCACACCAGTAGCAGCAAGGCGGAGTGTGCCTGCCCTCCCACACCAGTAGCAGCAAGGCGGAGTGTGCCTGCCCTCCCACACCAGTAGCAGCAAGGCGGAGTGTGCCTGCCCTCCCACACCAGTAGCAGCAAGGCGGAGTGTGCCTGCCCTCCCACACCAGTAGCAGCAAGGCGGAGTGTGCCTGCCCTCCCACACCAGTAGCAGCAAGGCGGAGTGTGCCTGCCCTCCCACACCAGTAGCAGCAAGGCGGAGTGTGCCTGCCCTCCCACACCAGTAGCAGCAAGGCGGAGTGTGCCTGCCCTCCCACACCAGTAGCAGCAAGGCGGAGTGTGCCTGCCCTCCCACACCAGTAGCAGCAAGGCGGAGTGTGCCTGCCCTCCCACACCAGTAGCAGCAAGGCGGAGTGTGCCTGCCCTCCCACACCAGTAGCAGCAAGGCGGAGTGTGCCTGCCCTCCCACACCAGTAGCAGCAAGGCGGAGTGTGCCTGCCCTCCCACACCAGTAGCAGCAAGGCGGAGTGTGCCTGCCCTCCCACACCAGTAGCAGCAAGGCGGAGTGTGCCTGCCCTCCCACACCAGTAGCAGCAAGGCGGAGTGTGCCTGCCCTCCCACACCAGTAGCAGCAAGGCGGAGTGTGCCTGCCCTCCCACACCAGTAGCAGCAAGGCGGAGTGTGCCTGCCCTCCCACACCAGTAGCAGCAAGGCGGAGTGTGCCTGCCCTCCCACACCAGTAGCAGCAAGGCGGAGTGTGCCTGCCCTCCCACACCAGTAGCAGCAAGGCGGAGTGTGCCTGCCCTCCCACACCAGTAGCAGCAAGGCGGAGTGTGCCTGCCCTCCCACACCAGTAGCAGCAAGGCGGAGTGTGCCTGCCCTCCCACACCAGTAGCAGCAAGGCGGAGTGTGCCTGCCCTCCCACACCAGTAGCAGCAAGGCGGAGTGTGCCTGCCCTCCCACACCAGTAGCAGCAAGGCGGAGTGTGCCTGCCCTCCCACACCAGTAGCAGCAAGGCGGAGTGTGCCTGCCCTCCCACACCAGTAGCAGCAAGGCGGAGTGTGCCTGCCCTCCCACACCAGTAGCAGCAAGGCGGAGTGTGCCTGCCCTCCCACACCAGTAGCAGCAAGGCGGAGTGTGCCTGCCCTCCCACACCAGTAGCAGCAAGGCGGAGTGTGCCTGCCCTCCCACACCAGTAGCAGCAAGGCGGAGTGTGCCTGCCCTCCCACACCAGTAGCAGCAAGGCGGAGTGTGCCTGCCCTCCCACACCAGTAGCAGCAAGGCGGAGTGTGCCTGCCCTCCCACACCAGTAGCAGCAAGGCGGAGTGTGCCTGCCCTCCCACACCAGTAGCAGCAAGGCGGAGTGTGCCTGCCCTCCCACACCAGTAGCAGCAAGGCGGAGTGTGCCTGCCCTCCCACACCAGTAGCAGCAAGGCGGAGTGTGCCTGCCCTCCCACACCAGTAGCAGCAAGGCGGAGTGTGCCTGCCCTCCCACACCAGTAGCAGCAAGGCGGAGTGTGCCTGCCCTCCCACACCAGTAGCAGCAAGGCGGAGTGTGCCTGCCCTCCCACACCAGTAGCAGCAAGGCGGAGTGTGCCTGCCCTCCCACACCAGTAGCAGCAAGGCGGAGTGTGCCTGCCCTCCCTCCGAGCATGCAGCTGCAGCAGAGGCAGAGGGAGCAGAAGGGGGGACAAAAAAGGGGTTCAAAAAACGAAGGGTGGGAAACCTGGGCGCCCAGGTTCCCCACCCATCCATATGTTCTACCCGCCCAGGTTTCCCACTCAGAGGGTGGGAAACTTGCGCACCCATCAATATGTTTCGGAGGGATACAGCCATAATTATGGCTATATTCCTTTCCAGCAATTGTGATGGCAATGTTTCCTTCTGGCCATGTTTCGTTCTAGCCATTATTATGGCAGTGTTTCCTTCCAGCCATTCTTATGGCAACTACATGTCCTTACCCTCTTTGGGAACTACCCTCTGTTCCTTTTGTTCCGTTCCTTTTGTTTCTTTCCTTTTGGGAACTACTCTCTTTTTGCAGCCCCTTTGGGAACTACGAGTCCTTACCATTCCTTGGGAGAATATATCTCCCAGGCAGTGTTTCGGAAATGCCTTCTTTGAGACTACTCTCTTATGCAGCCTCTTTGGGAACTGCCCTCGTTTGCTTCCCCTTTGGGAACTACCGTACCTGTTGTTCCCGCTTTGACAGCCATGTGTCACTTCCATAGGGTGGGAGATTCAATTTCCCGGCCATTGGTTCAGACACCTCTGGTTGCCAGCGATTCCGTTGGGAAGGTTCCTTTAGCACCTTTGCCAGCGTTTCCTTCAGCCCCTTTGGGAACTTCCTGTTTTTGCAGTCCCTTTAGGAACTGCCCTCTCTTTCTTCCCCTTTTGGGAACTACCCTCTTCCTCTTACCCTTTGGGAACAACCTGTTTGTTGCGCTTGGCAGCCATACCTGTCACTTCCATAGGGCGGGAAAATGAATCTCCCGGCAATTGGTTGAGACAACTCTGGTTTGACAGCACCAAAGTTCCTTCCCCTTGTTCTTTCTGCCCCTCTGAAAGCTACCTCTCTGTTGTGCTTGGCAACCATACCTGTCACTTCCATAGGGTTGGAGAATGAGTCTTCCAGCCATTGGTTGTGACAATTCTGGTTGGCAGCACCTCTTTTGGGAACCGCGGTTCCTCTGCCCCGCTTGGGCGTTTGTTTTCCCCTGGCGACGGTCCCCCACCTCACAGTGGTGCCAGGGTGTAACGCTACGGGCAGCAGCACCACCAGCTGCCCCTAGCGGCCAAGAGGGGTCCAATCCAGCTGTTTGCCTTGGTAATCAAGGTGGACAGCTGCTACCACCATCAAGAGGGTGCTATTACTTTATTCTCTCTGCTCTTTGGCCTATGCTGGTTACCTTTTCTCTCATTTCTTTGACCTCTATTGCATGGTTCTCTGTGCTCTTTGTCCTTTGATGATTACCGTCTCTCTCTAGTCTTGGGCCTCTATTGCTGGGTTCTCTCTTTTCTTCGACCTGTGATGATTACCATCTCTATTCTTGAGCCACTTCGAACGGGTATTTTGTTAAAATTGTAATAGCATATTTCTCAATTTGCCAGACTCTTCAAAGAAACATTTTCTAACTCCAGGGCTAGACATGCTAGGTACTAGTACTTTAGATGTGCTAATATCATAGGATAATATTCTTGATATACCGGAACCGGTAATACCGTATGCCTGCTAGGATACAAAACAAATGTTAGGATGCAATTACAGGATGCAATATGCCAGGATGCTATTCCAGGATGCAATATTTGGATACAGTATGTGTGCCAGGATACAATACCATATGCCAGGATGCAATGCAATATGCCAGGATGCAATGCAATATGCCAGGATGCAATGCAATATGCCAGGATGCAATGCAATATGCCAGGATGCAATACAATATGCCAGGATGCAATGCAATATGCCAGGATGCAATACAATATGCCAGGATGCAATGCAATATGCCAGGATGCAATACAATATGCCAGGATGCAATACAATACAATATGCCAGGATGCAGTACAATATGCCAGGATGCAGTACAATATGCCAGGATGCAATACAATAATGTAAAATTTTTAAAGTTAAACTTCTAAAAATTTGAAGATTGTGATTCGACTAGAAGAGGAGTTTGCTGTAAAGGAGACAAACTCCTTTTCATTCCCGCAGGTCTCTCAGACCTGCCACCTAGTCTCATTTGCATTTTCAGATCTCCAATTTGCTTACCACCAGCACACTCCCTAAACCCCTCCTATGCCTAGAGTTGGGCATAGGAGCACTTTAATCAACGACGTGATCAACGTCAGGTTTTCAACCATGGCGTCTGGCTTTGTTTCCGCAGTAACCGGCCGACCCCCCGCTCCACGAATGGTTACGCGCAGCAGCGGAAGGCGTGCTTCCCCGCCAAGAGATGAGGATCGCGCATCTTCCTCCCGCGATCGCTCAAGATCGCCACGTCGAAATGGCGGAAACGCAACATTGACCGCGCTGGACCTGTTGAATGGCGCGAGACAGCCTCCTCCTTCTGCACCTAATGTTGTCGCCGACGGACCTGGTAACGAGCGTGGGCCCCCCGGATTTCATGTCGAGGGGCGAGCGGCACGTGCAACCAACGACCCGCCTCAGCCAGGCGAAAACGCCCCCGCGCGCCAGGGTCCTGCAATCCAAGCACAAGACCGCAATGATCGCGGTCCTGCACAAGCAGATCGCAATCATCGCGATTCTGCACGTGCAGATCGCAATCAGCGAGATTCTGCACGTGCAGATCGCGACCGCGATTCTGCACGTGCAAGTCGCGAGCGGGATCCTGCGCGTGGCGAGCGTCAGATTCGGGAGCCAGCACGCGAGGATCACCGCCCCGATTCTTCAAATCGGCGCGCGAATCAGGGCGAGCAGCGAGATCCGCAGAATCCGGCAGCTGGGATTGCCGAAATCGCTGAAATCATTGCTCGCCTTGACCCCGCCAGCCAGCAGAATCTGAGGCGAATGTTCACTGAAACTGGCGGCGAACGCGTTATGGCGCGATCCAGCGCTTCTACAGGGCGCCGTGTACCCGAGAATTATTCGGCGCGCTACACTGGAAACAACACCGGAGCGGCAGCAAATAATAACGACGCAATCGGCCACGTGATCGGCCTTCTCGCGGCGCTTCAGCGCGGCAACAACGGTGAAGCCGCAGCAACAGCTGATCCTGTTCGTCCAGCTGCCGCAGCAGCAGCAGCCCGTCCCCGCGCTCCCCCTCCTCCTCTTAATCCCGAGGGTGACGACGACGACGACCACGACAACGTTGAGAACCTCGACGAAGGTAATACCACTCGTCTCAAGGCCAATCCAGCAACCATTAGTCTTGCCCCCATACCTCCTGCACGTCCTCAATTACGCTCCTCACTCGTCAAAAGCGACGGCATTCGTACTCAACTTTTTAGCTTTGAACGCATTCAAGCTATCGCTCGTCATGCCTTCTCGATTTTACCTTCCCACGGTGGCGAGCAACTCGCTGATTACCTTCAGCAAATCATTGACGAGGCTGAAGAAAAGATTCATTTCTTATTTACCGCGGATCAGCGCGGTTTTGAAGTAGCCAACATGGCTTTAAAGATTAAGTACGGCGAGGTGGTGGAAGATAAAAACGTTAAGGCCGCCACCCAGATTGTGGCGGCCAGCAAAAAAAGGCCACGCGGGCCCACATCCACTTCCCGTCCAAGCCCTGCACCTCGTAATCGAGGCCAAGGGGAACGCCATTGGACCTGGCGTAGGGATGGCGATGGGCGTTGCTTCTATTGCAGAGAGCCCGGTCACGGAATAGCCGATTGTCCGCAGCGGGGCCAAGGGGCCAACCAACCTTCTAAGATTGTTTAAGATTTGTGTTTGGTTGTTTTCTTTATTATAAAGACTATTTGGACTTACCCGTCGATCTAAACATTCCCGATATACATCAATGTCAAGAGTTGTTTATTTTAAAAGAGATCATGCAAAAAAAAAAAAAAAATCAACAAACAACAAACAAACAGACAAATAAGAAGATTATCATAACTGAGAGCGTGATTATGCATTACGCCCCTAAACTTCGCTCTTGAAAAACCAAAAAAAGGGGGGAGAGAGACACAATCAGAGAAAAGAGAAAAAGGAAAGAGACAAACAGAGAGAAGAAATAGGAGAGAGAGACCGATTGAAAGAGACGATGGATTCTACAATTTGGTGACACATGGGTGGGCATGTGCACCCTACACGTCTGCCATGGTCATAGGATGGTATCTCCCCACAACGCGTTGCGTTTAATATGACTAGATAATCATATAACATGCTAATCTAATCCCGTGCGTGATCTTACCCATCCCCCTCCAGAATTTGGCTTCATGCCACACATCAAGGCACAAGGTGATGTGCGACACATGCGAGGACGCTTGCGGGAACGTTCCACATGGTGGAACTCCTGGTGCACGAGTCGCTTCATCTTGTCAGTCATTGTGTCGGGGTATCGCCTACCGTGGCGGTCACACGAACCTACCCCGCACCATGCCCCGAACCACTCGGGAGCGTTGCAATACACGGCTTTCGCGGTCGAAGCAGTGGCTGGCCTACTTGCTTCAGGCGCGGCCCGCATCGTCCCGGCCGAGGAGCCGGTCACCTGTGTTAGCCCACTAAACGTGGTTGTTCAGCCTTCTAAGAAACGACTTATACTGGACCTACGTCATGTAAATTCATTCCTTTCCATCCCTCGATTCCGGTACGAAGGACTCAACAGGGTCCCTGACCTAGTCCATAAAGGCGATTGGTTGTTCACCATCGACCTCAAGTCGGGTTATCACCACGTGGACATTCACCCATCATTTTGGCGGTTCCTCGGATTTTCCCTGCAAGGCCAACGATACCAGTTTCTGTCACTACCCTTCGGGCTTGCTACAGCGCCCTTCGTGTTCACACAGCTAATTAAGCAGTTGGCAAAGCGTTGGCGCAGTAGAGGGATCCGATTAATTCCTTACGTTGACGACCTTTTGTTCATATGCGCTACGCGAACCGAAGCGTTCCGGACCCGCACCATCATTCTAGACGACCTCGGGTCCGCAGGTTTTATCGTCAACACGGACAAATCACAGCTCGAATCGTCACAACGGCTTAAATTTCTTGGCCTCATATTGGATACTAGTACAACATCCTTCTCCGTCGACGTTACCCGTCGAGATCGGTTGTTCGACGAGCTCGAGCAAATTTGTCAGATCAGCACACAGGGGCGTCGCATCCCGGTTCGACGCGCAGCTAGGGTGACAGGCATGCTAGCTTCCATGGCTATGGCGCTTGGTACCATAGCCCGTGCATTCTCACATAACCTGATCTCTCAAATCAGTGCGTGTCAATCCTGGGGAGACTCCATCCGTTTGACGTCGGAGTCGATCGACGAGTTGCGATTCTGGCTGACACAGTTTGACGTTTTCAATGGTTCCTGCTTCCACAACCCAAATGTGTACGACATCGTCATGTACGTCGATGCAAGCGACCATGCTTGGGGAAGCTGTTACTCCACGCCAGATGGCCGTGTCGGCTCGCAATCCTTCCGATTTCCCCAGTCACTATCAGTCGCATCGAGCACGCTTCACGAACTCGCCGGGATTCTCTGGGCACTGTCGACCTTTAGCTGCGAGATCCAACGCTCGCACGTCCTACTTCGAAGCGACAGTCAAGCAGCCTACTATATTCTAAAAAAGGGTGGTTCTCGCCAAGCCAACCTCACTCTCATCTGCCGCGCCATTATCACACTTTGTGTGCATCACAAGATTCGATTAACGGCGCAATGGATCCCCCGCGAACTCAATACCGAAGCCGACGCCCTTTCAAAGATTGACCTACACGACGACTACTCTCTCGCACGGACGTGGTTCCTTTTACTCGAGCGCCGCTGGGGCCCACATTCAATTGACCTATTTTCCTCGTCCTCCAACGCACAATTACGCCGGTTTTGCTCCCTAGACTATCATCCGCATGCGGTCGCCCAAGACGCGTTCTCTCTTAGTTGGAACGGTGAAAATTTCTACGCCTTCCCACCGCCGTCCATGATCCCCGCCGTCCTCGCCCACGCGCGTCGATCTCGTACTACAATAACTCTCGTTATCCCGGAATGGCCTAGCGCCTTCTGGTGGCCACTACTTTGCCCAGACGGCACTACGTGGGCGCATGATATACGGGCGAGCATATATCTCGCTCACGGTCCAACATGTCTACGTGTTGGTAGTGATACGCTGGCCTTTAGTGGTGCCAGTATCCCCCATTCGCATATGTATGCTCTTCGTTTGATATATACTAATCCATAGCCTTGTAAACATGCAGGTTCATATATTGGACGTTAGATGGGGGACCTCTTAACGCTTACTGTCGATTTGCGCGCCCAATCCACGATCCGCACATACGAACCCTACTGGCGACAGTATCGCACATTCTGTCAAGAGCATTCGTTGTCGTTTCTCCCTGCCACGGACCTAACATCCGCGCTATTCTTACTGCACTCAGTACGCAGGGGTGCCACGGTCTCCGCCGTGCGATCTGCCTGCTCTGCAATTTCTTGCGCCCACTGGTTGGTCGGCTGCCCATCTCCTATTCGAGGACCACTCTCCTCACAAGTAAAGGAGTACGCGAAACGACACTGCGGCAAACCTTCCGTGCCAAAGGAACCTATACCGCCTGCTAAGATTTATGACATTTGCGATATCTACTTCTCGTCGCCGGATCCTGCCATCTTCCCTCTTCTTATGTTTGCAGCTTTCCTGCGCTTCTCCGACCTCGTTGCCCTTCAATGGCACCAAATCGAGTTCGACCGCGACTGCATGTGGTTGTTCATCCCCCGCTCAAAAACGGACCAGGCCGGCACAGGCGCCTGGGTCCCAGTCGCCGCCTCTTCTACCCGCCACTGCCCTGTCACTCGCGTACGGCAATTTCTCTTCCTCGCTGGCTTCTCTGCGCAAACCTTAGGCCCCCTTATTCGGGTGTTCCCGCCTGCTGCGCGGGCTTCGCCATCCGATCGATCCCCATCCTACGCCACGGTCCGAGGCTGGTGTCGCGAGGCATTTTGTCGTGTTGGCCTCAACCCGAATCTGCTCGGCACGCATTCCTTTCGCAAGTCTGCCGCCACCATGGCTGTCGATGTTGGCGTGCCTGATCGCCTCTTCAAGGCCCTCGGCCGGTGGCGTAGCGACAAGGCTCGGGAGTTGTACGTCACCCAGTTGGACTGCGAGTTGGTGACGGCATCGCGTACCCTTCAGGATCCGACGAGACCTAGCTCTACCTACCGTTACGCATCCACTCTCGCACGCCATCGTCATCCTCCGCCTATTTGATGTCTCGTTTACCTATGACGACTGCACTGCACACTCCTCGGAGAGTCGTGTCACAATATGTAAAATTTTTAAAGTTAAACTTCTAAAATTTTGAAGATTGTGATTCGACTAGAAGAGGAGTTTGCTGTAAAGGAGACAAACTCCTTTTCATTCCCGCAGGTCTCTCAGACCTGCCACCTAGTCTCATTTGCATTTTCAGATCTCCAATTTGCTTCCCTCCCACCCAATTCCTTTTTTTTTAGTTACATAGAGTTTATGATACCCTATTTGAATACTCATTGTTATTGCTCATTTGAGTGTGCTGTACAAATGGGATTTGTAATGCTATGACGACTGCACTGCACACTCCTCGGAGAGTCGTGTCACAATATGCCAGGATGCAATACAATATGCCAGGATGCAATACAATATGCCAGGATGCAATACAATATGTCAGGATGCAATATGCCAGGATGCAATACAGTACAATATGCAAGGATGCAAACAGGATGCAACACCGGTATGCTAGGATATCCAGACGATTGTACCAATACTGTATGCTAGGATACAATATGCTAGGATGCCGTCGTACAATACGGTATGCTATGCTGCTACAATATGCAAGCATACGATACGCTACGATTCTCGGATACAGCTCTTCATTCAAGCCAAGGTAGATGTGCCATGCCAAGGTACAATACTGGTACTCCAAGCTGCTTGGAACCTTCCTAATCCAAGGCTAGATATGCAAGGATGAGGGGTATACATTTTGACAATGGAATGCTAAGAAGAAAGCAGAGCAGTTACATGAATGCAGAGCAGCCTTGTAGGTACTAATCTGTGCTCAGGTCTAGTCACATTTGCTGGAGACTACAGCTAATCATTCAATGCTACTTACTGTTTTTTCCCTAGGCTACCCCTAGCCTTATGACTGCAACGAGTTTGTGTGGCAAGGCAAGAGCCAGGCCAGAGCAAGCGCCAGAGCAAGCGCTAGAGCAAGAGCAAGAACAGCATAACTCAGAGTTCCGTGCAAGCAGACACGATCAGTCGGTGAGGGCATCGGCACGCAACGAGTAGAGCAGCAGACGACCGTCCTCAAGGCCCACGAGAATGGCGTCCTCACTGGTGACGGCGATGGAGCAGGCGGGCACGCCCACCCCCTCGTACACCACCACCGTGGCCAGTGTGAAGAAGGATCGTATTGTCACCCGCCCCGCTGCTCCTGCTGTCACCAGGAACTCACCGCACGCACTCGCTGCCATGCACGTCACACTGTCCACCTCTGCTGCTGCTGCTGTCGCCGCCGCTGCTGTTGATATTTGTGATGGGGATGCTGGCGTTGGTGGTGCGAATGCTGTTGGTGATCGCACTTGCTGGCTGCCAGTGGAATCACAGCCAGGAAGGGATACAGACACAGGCATGCCACTGCTTTCACCACCGCTACTCGAAGCTGCTTTATTCTCACCACTGCTGGAACTACCCCCTGCAGCACCTTCATTGTGAATCTCCACACCAGCAGCACCACCTGCAGCAACACCAGCAGAAGCGGCAGTGGCGGTGGCGGCGTTGGTGGCGGCAGTGGCAGCGGTGGCGGTGGGTCCGGTGGGGACGGCAGCGAGCCACTTGCCGTTGATGGACGCCACGCGCAGCCAGCCGTCTGCATCCGAGTGCACCGCCACCAGCGCCAGCTGGCTCACCGCCATTCGCTGCACGGCGTGGCGCAGCGGGTGGCGGATGCAGCGGATGAAGCGGCCTGAGGAGAGCGAGTGCAGCAGCAGCGAGCCGTCCAGTGAGGCTGAGAGCACGAGGTCAAGTGGGGAGGACGCGAGCACCTGAGTGACCACGTCGTCATGCCCACAGAGGAGGAGGTGCGGCTTGCAGGGCAGCACGGGGTCAGCGGAGGGGCGTGGCTGTGTGCGGTCTACGTGCCACACCATCACTGTTGTGTCGCGACTGCCTGTTGCCATCCACAGGCCGTCCTCCGATGCTGTGGGTGGGGAAGGGGCGTTGTGGGGAATAAGTGTGGGGGTGGGGCAGACCGCTGGGTAGCATGGATCGTCAGTAGCAGGAAATCAGGATCAATAAAGTAGCTGAGAGGCAGGGTGAATGACTGGACATGCATGCAGTGACTAACCGGAGAGGCAGGTGACGACATCGGTGTGCTGCCTGACGGCCTGCAGGGTGCGGCCGTCACTGACAGCCACGAGGCGCGTGGAGCAGTCCCAGTGTGCGGCGCACAGCAGGAAGGGCGAGGCGGCCCCGCGCAGCAGCGCGAAGCAGTGCGGACTCACGTCCCCACTCGTGGACGCGAAGGGCGCCCCGATTCGCCGAGAGATGAGCGGCTCGCTCAATGAGAAGGGCGCGTCCTGATGGGGTGGGGGAAGCAAAAGAGGGGAGATGGGAATGGGGGAGAGAGTTTGTGGGGACAGAATGAGGTCGTATGGGGAGGACACACTGGTTGGCAGGAGTATGAGTGGCAAGGGCAGGCAGCTGCATTGTCCAGCATGTGTAGGCATGTTAAGTGGGATGCATATGTCCACTCGCTTGCATGCATGTATGTGCCTGTGCGTGTGCGTGAGTGGCATGAGCGCCTGTGCTCACCGCAGCCAGCACTTGGTATCCGGAGCTGTAAGGAGTGTTCCACAGCCGTGCCGCCATGCACTGCCCCCTCGTTACAGTCACCACCCGCCCCTGCGCCACCCCCACAAACACCACCCCCACCTCCCACTGCTGCCGCAGCACCTCCCCCACACTCCCCCCCGCGCCCCCACCACCACCCGCAGCACCACCAGCAGGGGGACACGCCGGCACCACCACAGAAAGTCCAAGCGCCGCCGGCCGGTGCAGCAGCGGGCGGGCGGCGCGGGGCGGCGGGCCGCGGGGCTCGTGTGGGCGGCGGAAGAGCTGGGCGGGCGTCTGGCCGAAGGCGGCGATCTGCTCCTCTATGGCCGCCCGGTCCATGGGGTCGTCTAGAGCATCCATGTCCACAGCGCCCTCGTATGTGAGGTAGAAGAACACGTTGTCTGCCTCCATTGCTGCCAGCCCCCGCTGCTGGTAGCCGAAGATGAGGTCGATCCAACGGTGCAGGTTTGCGCTCACCCACTCGCTCTCAAGGGCCTCCCGGTTGAGCCGCACGAAGAGCTCTGGACTGCCCTGCTTGTGGGATCGGGGTGGGGCACGGGGTGGTGTGGCATTAGGAAGACAAGGGAGAAAATGCTGATAGCTTCAGCATCAGCCACCAGCGTTCAGCGATCAGCGATCAGCGAATCAGCGAATCAGCGATCAGATCAGCGAGCGTATCAGCGTATCAGCGTATCAGCGTATCAGCGCATCAGCGTATCAGCGCATCAGCGTATCAGAGTATCAACGTATCAGCGTATCAGCGCATCAGCGTATCAGCGTATCAGCGCATCAGCGTATCAGCGCATCAGCGTATCAGAGTATCAACGTATCAGCGCATCAGCGCATCAGCGCATCAGAGTATCAACGTATCAGCGTATCAGCGTATCAGAGTATCAACGTATCAGCGCATCAGCGTATCAGAGTATCAACGTATCAGCGCATCAGCGCATCAGCGCATCAGCGCATCAGCGTATCAGCGTATCAGCGTATCAGCGCATCAGCGATCAGCGATCATCATTCAGCGATCCGCGAATCACCTCACCTCATGTGTCCCACCCATTCACCCCATGCGTCCCACCCATTCACCCCATGAGTCCCACCCATTCACCCCATGTGTCCCTCCCATTCACCCCATGCGTCCCTCCCATTCACCCCATGCGTCCCACCCATTCACCCCATGCGTCCCACCCATTCACCCCATGCGTCCCACCCATTCACCCCATGCGTCCCACCCATTCACCCCATGCGCCCCACCCATTCACCCCATGGCCTCACCTGCGCCCAGGGCGGCAGCACGACGTCATTGAGCATGGAGCCGTCCTGGCACTGCCCCAGATAGAGGTGGTTGGCGTTGGCGAGGAAGTCAGGCAGGTAGAAGAACTCGGGGATGAGCTCCTTGACGTCGCTCGTGTTGGTCAGACAGTTGGCCCACGTCACCGCCACCGACTGGAACAGCCTGTCCGCATGGTCAAACTTGCCGCCCTGTGAATGGGTGAGGGGCAGGGGGAGAGGGCGGGGCGGATGGGGGAGCAGTGTGAGAGAGATGGTGGTGCTGACGGCCATGAGAGTATTCCAATGGCCTCACACGGTGTTGATGTGCGGCGTGCAGCACACCAATTTCATCTCAGGAGACAAGTCAAAGCATGACATGCGAGCATGGTCATGAAGTGCAGTGAGTTTGGCAATGCCACAGCACATCAGGGCAGAGGAGTGCAGGCACACGAGGGTGGAGAGCGAGCAAGTCGACTCAAAAGGAGTGCAGGCACACGAGGGTGGAGAGCGAGCAAGTCGACTCAAAAGGAGTGCAGGCACACGAGGGTGGAGAGCGAGCAAGTCGACTCAAAAGGAGTGCAGGCACACGAGGGTGGAGAGCGAGCAAGTCGACTCAAAAGGAGTGCAGGCACACGAGGGTGGAGAGCGAGCAAGTCGACTCAAAAGGAGTGCAGGCACACGAGGGTGGAGAGCGAGCAAGTCGACTCAAAAGGAGTGCAGGCACACGAGGGTGGAGAGCGAGCAAGTCGACTCAAAAGGAGTGCAGGCACACGAGGGTGGAGAGCGAGCAAGTCGACTCAAAAGGAGTGCAGGCACACGAGGGTGGAGAGCGAGCAAGTCGACTCAAAAGGAGTGCAGGCACACGAGGGTGGAGAGCGAGCAAGTCGACTCAAAAGGAGTGCAGGCACACGAGGGTGGAGAGCGAGCAAGTCGACTCAAAAGGAGTGCAGGCACACGAGGGTGGAGAGCGAGCAAGTCGACTCAAAAGGAGTGCAGGCACACGAGGGTGGAGAGCGAGCAAGTCGACTCAAAAGGAGTGCAGGCACACGAGGGTGGAGAGCGAGCAAGTCGACTCAAAAGGAGTGCAGGCACACGAGGGTGGAGAGCGAGCAAGTCGACTCAAAAGGAGTGCAGGCACACGAGGGTGGAGAGCGAGCAAGTCGACTCAAAAGGAGTGCAGGCACACGAGGGTGGAGAGCGAGCAAGTCGACTCAAAAGGAGTGCAGGCACACGAGGGTGGAGAGCGAGCAAGTCGACTCAAAAGGAGTGCAGGCACACGAGGGTGGAGAGCGAGCAAGTCGACTCAAAAGGAGTGCAGGCACACGAGGGTGGAGAGCGAGCAAGTCGACTCAAAAGGAGTGCAGGCACACGAGGGTGGAGAGCGAGCAAGTCGACTCAAAAGGAGTGCAGGCACACGAGGGTGGAGAGCGAGCAAGTCGACTCAAAAGGAGTGCAGGCACACGAGGGTGGAGAGCGAGCAAGTCGACTCAAAAGGAGTGCAGGCACACGAGGGTGGAGAGCGAGCAAGTCGACTCAAAAGGAGTGCAGGCACACGAGGGTGGAGAGCGAGCAAGTCGACTCAAAAGGAGTGCAGGCACACGAGGGTGGAGAGCGAGCAAGTCGACTCAAAAGGAGTGCAGGCACACGAGGGTGGAGAGCGAGCAAGTCGACTCAAAAGGAGTGCAGGCACACGAGGGTGGAGAGCGAGCAAGTCGACTCAAAAGGAGTGCAGGCACACGAGGGTGGAGAGCGAGCAAGTCGACTCAAAAGGAGTGCAGGCACACGAGGGTGGAGAGCGAGCAAGTCGACTCAAAAGGAGTGCAGGCACACGAGGGTGGAGAGCGAGCAAGTCGACTCAAAAGGAGTGCAGGCACACGAGGGTGGAGAGCGAGCAAGTCGACTCAAAAGGAGTGCAGGCACACGAGGGTGGAGAGCGAGCAAGTCGACTCAAAAGGAGTGCAGGCACACGAGGGTGGAGAGCGAGCAAGTCGACTCAAAAGGAGTGCAGGCACACGAGGGTGGAGAGCGAGCAAGTCGACTCAAAAGGAGTGCAGGCACACGAGGGTGGAGAGCGAGCAAGTCGACTCAAAAGGAGTGCAGGCACACGAGGGTGGAGAGCGAGCAAGTCGACTCAAAAGGAGTGCAGGCACACGAGGGTGGAGAGCGAGCAAGTCGACTCAAAAGGAGTGCAGGCACACGAGGGTGGAGAGCGAGCAAGTCGACTCAAAAGGAGTGCAGGCACACGAGGGTGGAGAGCGAGCAAGTCGACTCAAAAGGAGTGCAGGCACACGAGGGTGGAGAGCGAGCAAGTCGACTCAAAAGGAGTGCAGGCACACGAGGGTGGAGAGCGAGCAAGTCGACTCAAAAGGAGTGCAGGCACACGAGGGTGGAGAGCGAGCAAGTCGACTCAAAAGGAGTGCAGGCACACGAGGGTGGAGAGCGAGCAAGTCGACTCAAAAGGAGTGCAGGCACACGAGGGTGGAGAGCGAGCAAGTCGACTCAAAAGGAGTGCAGGCACACGAGGGTGGAGAGCGAGCAAGTCGACTCAAAAGGAGTGCAGGCACACGAGGGTGGAGAGCGAGCAAGTCGACTCAAAAGGAGTGCAGGCACACGAGGGTGGAGAGCGAGCAAGTCGACTCAAAAGGAGTGCAGGCACACGAGGGTGGAGAGCGAGCAAGTCGACTCAAAAGGAGTGCAGGCACACGAGGGTGGAGAGCGAGCAAGTCGACTCAAAAGGAGTGCAGGCACACGAGGGTGGAGAGCGAGCAAGTCGACTCAAAAGGAGTGCAGGCACACGAGGGTGGAGAGCGAGCAAGTCGACTCAAAAGGAGTGCAGGCACACGAGGGTGGAGAGCGAGCAAGTCGACTCAAAAGGAGTGCAGGCACACGAGGGTGGAGAGCGAGCAAGTCGACTCAAAAGGAGTGCAGGCACACGAGGGTGGAGAGCGAGCAAGTCGACTCAAAAGGAGTGCAGGCACACGAGGGTGGAGAGCGAGCAAGTCGACTCAAAAGGAGTGCAGGCACACGAGGGTGGAGAGCGAGCAAGTCGACTCAAAAGGAGTGCAGGCACACGAGGGTGGAGAGCGAGCAAGTCGACTCAAAAGGAGTGCAGGCACACGAGGGTGGAGAGCGAGCAAGTCGACTCAAAAGGAGTGCAGGCACACGAGGGTGGAGAGCGAGCAAGTCGACTCAAAAGGAGTGCAGGCACACGAGGGTGGAGAGCGAGCAAGTCGACTCAAAAGGAGTGCAGGCACACGAGGGTGGAGAGCGAGCAAGTCGACTCAAAAGGAGTGCAGGCACACGAGGGTGGAGAGCGAGCAAGTCGACTCAAAAGGAGTGCAGGCACACGAGGGTGGAGAGCGAGCAAGTCGACTCAAAAGGAGTGCAGGCACACGAGGGTGGAGAGCGAGCAAGTCGACTCAAAAGGAGTGCAGGCACACGAGGGTGGAGAGCGAGCAAGTCGACTCAAAAGGAGTGCAGGCACACGAGGGTGGAGAGCGAGCAAGTCGACTCAAAAGGAGTGCAGGCACACGAGGGTGGAGAGCGAGCAAGTCGACTCAAAAGGAGTGCAGGCACACGAGGGTGGAGAGCGAGCAAGTCGACTCAAAAGGAGTGCAGGCACACGAGGGTGGAGAGCGAGCAAGTCGACTCAAAAGGAGTGCAGGCACACGAGGGTGGAGAGCGAGCAAGTCGACTCAAAAGGAGTGCAGGCACACGAGGGTGGAGAGCGAGCAAGTCGACTCAAAAGGAGTGCAGGCACACGAGGGTGGAGAGCGAGCAAGTCGACTCAAAAGGAGTGCAGGCACACGAGGGTGGAGAGCGAGCAAGTCGACTCAAAAGGAGTGCAGGCACACGAGGGTGGAGAGCGAGCAAGTCGACTCAAAAGGAGTGCAGGCACACGAGGGTGGAGAGCGAGCAAGTCGACTCAAAAGGAGTGCAGGCACACGAGGGTGGAGAGCGAGCAAGTCGACTCAAAAGGAGTGCAGGCACACGAGGGTGGAGAGCGAGCAAGTCGACTCAAAAGGAGTGCAGGCACACGAGGGTGGAGAGCGAGCAAGTCGACTCAAAAGGAGTGCAGGCACACGAGGGTGGAGAGCGAGCAAGTCGACTCAAAAGGAGTGCAGGCACACGAGGGTGGAGAGCGAGCAAGTCGACTCAAAAGGAGTGCAGGCACACGAGGGTGGAGAGCGAGCAAGTCGACTCAAAAGGAGTGCAGGCACACGAGGGTGGAGAGCGAGCAAGTCGACTCAAAAGGAGTGCAGGCACACGAGGGTGGAGAGCGAGCAAGTCGACTCAAAAGGAGTGCAGGCACACGAGGGTGGAGAGCGAGCAAGTCGACTCAAAAGGAGTGCAGGCACACGAGGGTGGAGAGCGAGCAAGTCGACTCAAAAGGAGTGCAGGCACACGAGGGTGGAGAGCGAGCAAGTCGACTCAAAAGGAGTGCAGGCACACGAGGGTGGAGAGCGAGCAAGTCGACTCAAAAGGAGTGCAGGCACACGAGGGTGGAGAGCGAGCAAGTCGACTCAAAAGGAGTGCAGGCACACGAGGGTGGAGAGCGAGCAAGTCGACTCAAAAGGAGTGCAGGCACACGAGGGTGGAGAGCGAGCAAGTCGACTCAAAAGGAGTGCAGGCACACGAGGGTGGAGAGCGAGCAAGTCGACTCAAAAGGAGTGCAGGCACACGAGGGTGGAGAGCGAGCAAGTCGACTCAAAAGGAGTGCAGGCACACGAGGGTGGAGAGCGAGCAAGTCGACTCAAAAGGAGTGCAGGCACACGAGGGTGGAGAGCGAGCAAGTCGACTCAAAAGGAGTGCAGGCACACGAGGGTGGAGAGCGAGCAAGTCGACTCAAAAGGAGTGCAGGCACACGAGGGTGGAGAGCGAGCAAGTCGACTCAAAAGGAGTGCAGGCACACGAGGGTGGAGAGCGAGCAAGTCGACTCAAAAGGAGTGCAGGCACACGAGGGTGGAGAGCGAGCAAGTCGACTCAAAAGGAGTGCAGGCACACGAGGGTGGAGAGCGAGCAAGTCGACTCAAAAGGAGTGCAGGCACACGAGGGTGGAGAGCGAGCAAGTCGACTCAAAAGGAGTGCAGGCACACGAGGGTGGAGAGCGAGCAAGTCGACTCAAAAGGAGTGCAGGCACACGAGGGTGGAGAGCGAGCAAGTCGACTCAAAAGGAGTGCAGGCACACGAGGTTGGAGAGCGAGCAAGTC